GAACAAAAACAAACAAAAAGGAAAACACTAATCATATCAGCATACGGATAATAAAGAGTACTGTTGGTCTCGTACAAATAAAGTTTTTTTCAAAGTCAAGCGCTATCGATGTAAAGTCGAGCGTTGTAGATGTCTAGTCAAACACTGGATATACATTATACAGTCCAGCGGTGCAGATATAAAGTCAAGCGCTGACGATGTAAAGTCGAGCGTTGTAGTGTCTAGTCAAACACTGGATATACATGTATACAGTCCAGCGGTGTAGATATAAAGTCCAGCGCTGAAGATCTCAAGTCCAAAGCTGTACATTTTAAGTCAAACGCTGGAGGTCTTAAGTCAAGCGCTGGAGGTCTTAAGTCCAGCATTGTAGATCTAAAGTCAAGCGCTGGAGGTGTAAAGTCAAACGCTGGAGGTCTTAAGTCCAGCATTGTAGATCTAAAGTCAAGCGCTGGAGGTGTTAAGTCCAGCATTGTAGATCTAAAGTCAAGCGTTGGAGGTGTTAAGTCCAGCATTGTAGATCTAAAGTCAAGCGCTGGAGGTGTTAAGTCCAGCATTGTAGATCTAAAGTCAAGTGCTGGAGGTGTTAAGTCCAGCATTGTAGATCTAAAGTCAAGCGCTGGAGGTGTTAAGTCCAGCATTGTAGATCTAAAGTCAAGTGTTGGAGGTGTTAAGTCCAGCATTGTAGATCTAAAGTCAAGCGCTGGAGGTGTTAAGTCCAGCATTGTAGATCTAAAGTCAAGTGCTGGAGGTGTTAAGTCCAGCATTGTAGATCTAAAGTCAAGCGCTGGGGGTGTTAAGTCCAGCATTGTAGATCTAAAGTCAAGCGCTGGAGGTCTTAAGTCCAGCATTGTAGATCTAAAGTCAAGTGCTGGAGATGTTAGGTCTAGCGCTGTAGATTTATGATAAGTATAGATCATAGATTTATAAAAATGTATTTTGTACAGAAATGGACCACGGCAAAGTGTTCTGACCGATAAAAAGATGACAGTTTTGTCAAGAATTCGTGCTTTTGATGTTGTTGATTACTTAAACTAGCACATAGATTTACATCACTGAACCTTTGCTGAATGAGAAATATATTTTGGCTATTTATGAGCCCAAATTTACTTGTACGTGAATTTGTATTATAATTTAACGGTAGATCTGGTACATAGTATGATTATTGAGATTTTCAGAAAACAATATTTCTCTTTTTTGGAAATTAGTGACTTTCGGAACGTCGTGTGTCACTATACAAAACTTTAAACATTGGTTGAAAATTGGCATGTAGAAAGGTGATACATTTGACAGAAATGTGTATCGTGTCTACTACATTAACCAGGGTCTGAATGGGGTTTACTAAATACAGAATAATAAACCAAAAATCAAAGAATATTGAAAAATGGCACACAAAAGTAAAGAATGGAGAATAATTGGCATAATGAATAAAATTAAGACCCACCCCCAATCAAGACCCCCATTAAGTAATATCCAATCCACTGCTATATCAAATATTTTTTTATATTCATTTGTGTATTTGGCCAAACGTTAATCATTCTAATTTTGACTGACAGATGCAGCAAGACACTTTACATGCAGTATCAATTTCAATTATAAATAACTAAAACGTCAACATTTAACGTGTTTAATGAAATGTGAAAACATCAATACGTGAAAAATGACATTATTTTTGTACATTTGAACATTGCGTTGAATGCAAATAAATTACACGTAAAAAAGTAGATATTTAATGTATGATTGCCAATGATAAAACTATCTACCAAAGTTCAAATGACGTGGAGGTCACCATACGGTTTTAAACAATGAGCAAAGCCTATACTTAAAGTCCTGACATTTCCAAATATGCAACGAGACAGATAAATGAACTTTCTTATTAATCGAACAAACCACATGGAACTATCTGCGGATACGTTGGACAGTTATTGTACTATTAGCAACTATAGCCAGTATTAAGAATATCAGATTGTTTTGACATTCGTAATGTTTCTTTCATTACCTCCATTGATGAACGGAATATATCTATAGTTAAAAATTATAGTCAAGTCCATGTTTCACTACAAAATTACTCTCAAAACAGTCATTTACGTCATACTCCTATTCAAAGGACGAAATCATCAGCATTCTATAGACCGTGACGTATGTGGCCTTACATCTATATTGAACCTTTACATAATACAGCAGTACAAATAGGTTGATATCTAGTAAAGTACAACACTAAAATTAGGTTGATATCTAGTAAAGTACAACACTACAAGTAAGGTTGATATCTAGTAAAGTACAACACAACAAGTAAGGTTAATATCTAATAAAGTACAACACAACAAATAATGTTGATATCTAGTAAAGTACATCAATACAATTAAGGTTGATATCTAGTAAAGCACAACACTAAAATTAGATTGATATCTAGTAAAGTACAACACTAAAATTAGGTTGATATCTAGTAAAGTACAACACTAAAATTAGATTGATATCTAGTAAAGTACAACACTAAAATTAGGTTGATATCTAGGAAATTACAACACTACAATTAAGGTTGATATCTATGAAAGTACAACACTACAATTAGGTTGATATCTAGGAAATTACAACACTACAATTAAGGCTGATATCTAGTAAAGTACAACACTACAAATAAGGTTGATATCTAGGAAATTACAACACTACAATTAAGGTTGATATCTAGGAAATTACAACACTAAAATTAAGGTTGATATCTAGGAAAGTACAACACTACAATGAGGTTGATATCTAGGAAAGTACAACACTACAATTAGGTTGATATCTAGTAAAGTACAACACTGAAATCATGTTGATATCTAGTAAAGAACATCAGTACAATTAGGTTGATATCTAGTAAAGTACAACACTACATTAAGGTTAATAAATAGTAAAGTACAGCAGTACAAATATGTTGATATATATTAAAGTAAAACAGTACAGTTAGGTTATTATCTAGTAAAGAACAGCACTACAATTAGGTTGATATCTAGAATAGAACAGCACTACAATTAAGTTGATATCTAGTAAATAAACATCAACATCCAAAAAAGGAAAATTTACAATAGGAAAAGAAAAATCATCCCTTTTGTCGTAATTTTTTGTGTAGAGTTTCTGGTGTAAAACTGAAATATCTAAATGTAGGAAAGGACACTTATTGCTGTTAATATTTCGGCAGAATATTTAGAGAACTCTTGACTATTTAGCGAAAAATATCATCAAGATAACGGTTAATCAATTGAATAGAATTTAGACAGGTATTTTCAAGTACGTAAATTAATCATCTCTTTGCTTTTAGGTGGTACATAACACTACAGGGAGATAACTCTGTAAAAATCAGCTGAACGTTTTAATCACGTTCTATTGTTACAGAAATATTAAGCTTCTCAATGATCAAAATTAATGTTTGTCAAACTGCTGGTTACAAGAGCGCAATTAAGATGGTACTCAGAATAGAATCCTGTACGGCTTCTGATTGGATGATACAGGATTGGATTTACTTTTAATCGAAAGCTTATCCAATTAGGTTTAAAAAAATCCAGAAAATCAAATTCACATTTTACAAAGTATAGAAAATATCTTCCATTTCTGCACGTCGGAACCATTAAAAATATGCCTTTTTCATTAAGCGAAAAAAAAAATAGACGATCTTTTTCAACTGCATTTTAAGTCAATTTTTGCCGCATGACCCTATATATTTTTTTGAATGTAATGCAACACTTGCATTTCTATTAACAGGGACTGCTACCCGTTTTTCCCTTGTTTGAGTAGTCTTCGAGAAATAGAATACGGAACACCACTGGTACCCTATGGAAAATGCATTACGAATAATTGCGCTCTTGTAACCTGCTATATATCCAATGAAGCTTTTCCGATAAAGTGTGTGGATCAAGTTTTTTGAAATTTTCATACTTTTGTCAAAGGTCAAAGTAAATATTTTGTCAAAATTTTATGAAAATTAAACGAGCCAAATTAATTTTAGTCATGTGTTTGGTACCACCTTAATGTCGTTTTTTCATTTTAAAAATTCTAAATCCATTAAATTGTACCGTCTCGTATCAGTATCATTAGGCATGCCTTTTAATTCCATAACCCAGGGGGGGATTGCCTATTTCTTACATAAGTATGGATAAGTAAAAAATGTGATTTCAAATATTATTTTTGATTTATTTTAAATGTCACCAACATAAGTACTAAAATGAAAGAAGAAAAAAACACAAATCTTATGATCCAAATAGGTCATGTTAAACTTGTAAATAGAAATTGAAATTCAAAATCTTATTATTATTATTCAGTCTATGATTTATGTAATATATAATGTGTCTGGATCGAAATTTAAATACCCCTCATTTTACTCAAATCAATCATTTTTGACATGTTTTGTTGTTTTCTTTACACATTCGAAAAGTGTTAATTCAATTTTTCTGACTGACATCATCTTGTAGTTTAACAATAATAAAAATGTTGTTGCAAGTATTCAGGGGGCATTTAGTATTACAGATGTTTTTAGTATCAATATAATTCCTTCACGACTGCTTCTGTGTCATACTTACCAGATTGACATGAGTAGGGAAAGAGTCCATGTAACACTTAACAATTCAAAATTTTTAAAAGTTTTAAATTTTAGTTTTTTTTGGATTTTTTATCAAAATTTTAAAATATCAACATTCCAAATTTTTGAATTTTTTAAAATTTTCAACCAAATACTTAAAATTTTAAAATTCTAAAACTAGTTTTAAAATTTGATAGTTTAGATTTTTAACCAAACTTTGAAAAAATACTAAACTTAACGTGCAGTTTTGATTATTTCGCTCTTTGAAAGTTTGATTTTTTTGATTTATGATTAACAAATTATAAATAGAAAAGAGAACATATGTATGGGGGTACCTGTAAAGTGCGCACAAGGATAATAGTTACGCTGAACGGTGCCCACTGGTCACCTGAACAGAAACGGTTAAAATTGAGTCTATACGCGACAAAAAAAAGTACATGATTTCCGGTTTAAAGTGAAAGTACGTTACTAAGGGGATACTCAGTGCAGCATACTCAGTTTATAATTGCTGTTATACAATACGGATATGAGCTTAATGCAAAGTTCTGGAATCACCATATTTCAAAGGATACTGTTGAGAGAGGTACAAAAAGTAAAAAATAATACACAAATAATCAATAATCATAATGATTCACTCAAAACAAACAATTGAAAATGCATAGAAGATTCATCTGTAACTCTATTAACGAGTGATATGGCTTATTTTTCAGAAAAAAAAATAACCTAATGGCCTATATTGCACTCTCATGAAATATAACTAAAAAGATGGTATGCCTCGAACTCGGGTACCTTTAAACTGCCATTGGTTACCTCTGGTCACCCTATACAGAAAATAATAGTGCATACAGTTACACTGGTCATTTGATACAAAATGCATAGTAACTTTATTAACCTTACTTCCTTTGCAGATAAATTTACAGTGGTTCTTCTAATTAATTGACACAGATATAGATATTGAATGGCCCTTAAACAGATATTGAATTTCTATACATCTTGTCACCTTTTACATAATTAATTGTGGTGACCTCTGGTCACCCAACACATGTATTGAATTGCAATAAACATTATAAGATATTGAATTTGGTTACCTCTTGTCAACCCGGCAAGCCTTCACAGATATTGAATTTTGTTGCACCTTGTCACCTTTTACATAATTAATTGTGGTGACCTCTGGTCACCCTACACATATATTCTATTTTTTATCTTTAGACACTGTGCATAACTATTGAATTTATTTAACTTTAATAACCCTACTTAGATGTTTAATTTGGTAATATATGGACACCCTACCAAGATGTTGTATATGGTTAACCCTAATCACTCTACAATGATGTTGAATATGGTTACCTCTGGGCACCCTACAAAGATATTGAATATGGTGACCTCTGGTCACCCTACCAAAATTTTGAATATGGTTCTTTCTGGTCACCCTACACATATATTGAATAAGGTTACCTCTAGTCATCTTACAAAGATATTGCATATGGTTACCTCTGGTCACCCTTCACATATACTGAATATGGAAACCTCTGGTCACCCAACACAGATGTTTGAATTAGTTATAAACTTGCCATCCTACACAGATAATGATCACGGTTATATCTGGACATCTTTCAAATACTTTTAATTGAGTTATGTTCGGTTTCAAAACCTATATACTGGCTTTAACTACCTCTTGTTACCCTAAACATGTCTTGATTTTGGTAATCTCTGGTCACCCTACTAAGACAAATACAATCAAAACCAAGGAGTAAACAGATATACCAAAAGAAATTTACAACAAAAAAGTAAGGAACAACAGGAATCTTCTTAATCATGTCTTGAACGCTCCCATCGTGTGAGTTCTTTCTTAAGTCCGGTAATAATGAAAATGTACTGATGACTGTGCAAGAGTTTTAATATGATTAATCATACATAAATTACTAAAATATTGAATTTGGTGACCTCTGGTCACCCTATACATATATGAACTTTAAATACCTCAAGTTACCCTACACAAATACTGAATTGGGTTACCTCTGGTCACCCTTCACATATTTTGAATGTGGTTACCTCTTATCTTACACAGATAGAAAACTTGATTACCTCTAGTCACCGTGCATAAATATTTAATTTGGTTACCTATAGTTAGCCTACTTAAATATTTAATTTTGTAAACTTCGGTCATAAATTGAACGTGGTAACCTCTGATCAACGTACACAAATATTGAAAAAGGTAACCTCTGGTAAACAATTACAGATATTGAAAATGGTTACCTCTGGTCAACCTACAATAAATTGGCTTATAATACCTATGGTTACAATTCATAAATAATGAATTTGGTAAGCATCGGTTATCCCGGTTCACACTTTTGCGCTACTTTTATAATTAATATAGCAACTTCTGGTCGCTGTACACATACATTGAATTATATTGCCATTGTCAACACACACATATATATATAGCAATTGCCTTTTTTGAATGTGGTAAACTCGGGTCGCCATACACAGATATAAAGTTATTTATCTTTAGACACCATACTTAAATATTGAATGTAGATACCTTTATTAAACCTACTAGTAAGCTGTTTATTTTGGTAATCTCTGGTCACACTGCCAAGATGATGAATGTGGTTACCTCTGGTCACCCTCCAAAGATATTGAATATGGTTACCTCTGGTCACCCTACAAAGATATTGAATAGGGTGACCTCTGGTCACCCAACCAAAACTTTGAATATGGTTACCTCTGGTCACCCTACACAGATATTGAATAAGGTTACCTCTAGTCACCCAACCAAAACTTTGAATATGGTTACCTCTGGTCACCCTACACATATATTGAATAAGGTTACTTCTGGTCACCCAACCAAAACTTTAAATATGGTTACCTCTGGTCACCCTCCAAATATATTGAATATGGTTACCTCTGGTCACCCTACGAAGATATTGAATAGGGTGACCTCTGGTCACCCAACCAAAACTTTGAATATGGTTACCTCTGGTCACCCTACACAGATATTGAATAAGGTTACCTCTGGTCACCCAACCAAAACTTTGAGTATGGTTACCTCTGGTCACCCTACACAGATATTGAATAAGGTTACCTCTGGTCACCCAACCAAAACTTTGAATATGGTTACCTCTGGTCACCCTACACATATATTGAATAATGTTACTTCTGGTCACCCAACCAAAACTTTAAATATGGTTACCTCTGGTCACCCTACACAAATATTGAATAAGGTTACCTCTGGTCACTTTACAAAGATATTGCATATGGTTATCTTTGGTCACCTAAAAAGATATTATATGTGGTAACCTCTGGTCTCCCTACACATATATTGACTATGGTTACCTCTGGTCACCCTACACATATTTTGAACATGGTAACCTCTGGTCACCTTACCAAAACTTTGAATATGGTTACCTCTGGTCACCTAACAAAGATATTGGATATGGTTTTTTTTGTCATCTAAAAAGATATTGATTGTGGTTACTTCTGGTCACCCTACAAAATATTGAGTATGGTTAGCTCTTGTTACTCTACACAGATATTGAAAATGGTAACCTCTGGTCAACCTACAATAAATTGGCTGATGTTACCTATGGTTACAATTCATAAATAATGTATTTGGTTAGCATCTGTTATCCCGGTTCACACTTTTGCGCTTCTTTTATAATTAATATAGCAACTTCTGGTCGCTGTACACATACATTGAATTATGTTGCCATTGTCAACACACACATATATATATATAGCAATTGCCTTTTTTGAATGTGGTAACCTCGGGTCGCCATACACAGATATAAAGTTATTTATCTTTAGACACCATACATAAATATTGAATGTAGATACCTTTATTAAACCTACTAGTAAGCTGTTTATTTTGGTAATCTCTGGTCACACTGCCAAGATGATGAATGTGGTGACCTCTGGTCACCCTCCAAAGATATTGAATATGGTTACCTCTGGTCACCCTACAAAGATATTGAATAGGGTGACCTCTGGTCACCCAACCAAAACTTTGAATATGGTTACCTCTGGTCACCCTACACAGATATTGAATAAGGTTACCTCTGGTCACCCAACCAAAACTTTGAATATGGTTACCTCTGGTCACCCTACACATATATTGAATAAGGTTACTTCTGGTCACCCAACCAAAACTTTAAATATGGTTACCTCTGGTCACCCTACACATATATTGAATAAGGTTACCTCTGGTCACTTTACAAAGATATTGCATATGGTTATCTTTGGTCACCCAAAAAGATGTTATATGTGGTAACCTCTGGTCTCCCTACACATATATTGACTATGGTTACCTCTGGTCACCCTACACATGTTTTGAACATGGTAACCTCTGGTCACCTTACCAAAACTTTGAATATGGTTACCTCTGGTCACCTAACAAAGATATTGAATATGGTTACCTCTGGTCGCCCTACAGAGATATTGAATAGGGTGACCTCTGGTCACCCAACCAAAACTTTGAATATGGTTACCTCTGGTCACCCTACACAGATATTGAATAAGGTTACCTCTGGTCACCCAACCAAAACTTTGAATATAGTTACCTCTGGTCACGGTGCACCCTACACATATATTGGATAAGGTTACTTCTGGTCACCCAACCAAAACTTTAAATATGGTTACCTCTGGTCACCCTACACAGATATTGAATAAGGTTACCTCTGGTCACTTTACAAAGATATTGCATATGGTTATCTTTGGTCACCTAAAAAGATATTATATGTGGTAACCTCTGGTCTCCTTACACATATATTGACTATGGTTACCTCTGGTCACCCTACACATATTTTGAACATGGTAACCTCTGGTCACCTTACCAAAACTTTGAATATGGTTACCTCTGGTCACCTAACAAAGATATTGGATATGGTTTTTTTTGTCATCTAAAAAGATATTGATTGTGGTTACTTCTGGTCACCCTACAAAATATTGAGTATGGCTAGCTCTTGTTACTCTACACAGATATTGAAAATGGTAACCTCTGGTCAACCTACAATAAATTGGCTTATGTTACCTATGGTTACAATTCATAAATAATGTATTTGGTTAGCATCTGTTATCCCGGTTCACACTTTTGCGCTACTTTTATTATTAATATAGCAACTTCTGGTCGCTGTACACATACATTGAATTATGTTGCCATTGTCAACACACACATATATATATAGCAATTGCCTTTTTTGAATGTGGTAACCTCTGGTCACCCTACACATATATTGAATAAGGTTATCTCTGGTCACCCAACCAAAACTTTAAATATGGTAACCTCTGGTCACACTGCCAAAATGATGAATGTGGTTACCTCTGGTCACCCTCCAAAGATATTGAATATGGTTACCTCTGGTCACCCTACACAGATATTGAATAAGGTTACCTCTGGTCCCCCAACCAAAACTTTGAATATAGTTACCTCCGGTCACACTGCCAAGATGATGAATGTGGTTACCTCTGGTCACCCTCCAAAGATATTGAATATGGTAACCTCTGGTCACCCTACACAGATATTGAATAAGGTTACCTCTGGTCACCCAACCAAAACTTTGAATATGGTTACCTCTGGTCATCCTACACATATATTGAATAAGGTTAACTCTGGTCATTTTACAAAGATATTGCATATGGTTATCTTTGGTCACCTAAAAAGATATTATATGTGGTAACCTCTGGTCTCCCTACACATAAATTGACTATGGTTACCTCTGGTCACCCTACACATATTTTGAACATGGTAACCTCTGGTCACCTTACCAAAACTTTAAATATGGTTACCTCTGGTCACCTAACAAAGATATTGGATATGGTTTTTTTTTTGTCATCTTAAAAGATATTGATTGTGGTTACTTCTGGTCACCCTACAAATATATTGAGTATGGTTAGCTCTTGTTTCTCTACACAGATATTGAAAATGGTAACCTCTGGTCAACCTACAATAAATTGGCTTATGTTACCTATGGTTACAATTCATAAATAATGTATTTGGTTAGCATCGGTTATCCCGGTTCACACTTTTTACGCTACTTTTATTATTAATATAGCAACTTCTTGTCGATGTACACATATATTAAATTATGTTGCCATTGTCAACAAAAATATATAGCAATTGCCTTTTCTTAATGTAGTTACCTCGGGTCACCATACACATATATAAAATTATTTATCTTTAGACACCATGCATAAATATTGAATGTAGGTACTTTTATTAAACCTACTAAGATGTTTATTATGGTAATCTCTGGTCACACTACTAAGATGTTGAATGTGGTTACCTCTGGTCACCCTCCAAAAATATTGAATATGGTTACCTCTGGTCACCCTACAAAGATATTGAATATAGTAACCTCTGCTCAACCAACCAAAATTTTGAATATGGTTACCTCTGGTCACCCTACTAAAATTTTGAATATGGTTACCTCTGGTCACCTTACAAAGATATTGCATATGGTTTTCTTTGTTCATCTAAAAAGAGTTTGAATGTGGTTACCTCTGGTCACCCTACACATATATTAAGTATGGTTACCTCTGGTCACTCTACGCATAATTTGAACATGGTCACCTCTGGTCACCCACACAGATATTGGCTATGGTTACCTTTGGTCAATCTACAAAAAATTGACTTATGTTACCTATGGTTACAAATCATAAATAATGAATTTGGTTAGCAATGGTTATCTCGGTGCACACTTTTTGCGCTACTTTTATAATTAATATAGCCACTTCTGGTCGATGTACACATATATTAAATTATGTAGCCGTTGTCAACAAATATATATAGCAATTGTTTTTTTTTAATGTGGTTACCTCGGGTCACCATACACAGATATACATTTATTTATCTTTAGACACCATGCATAAATATTGAATTTAGGTACCTTTATTAACCCTACTTAGATGTTTAATTTGGTAATCTCTGGTCACACTACAAAGATGTTAAATGTGATTACCTCTGGTCACCGTACAAAAATATTGAATATGGTTACTTCTGGTCAACTTACAAAGATATTAAATAGGGTGACCTCTGGTCACCCTACCAAAATTGTGAATATGGTTACCTCTGGTCACCCTACACAGATATTGAATAAGGTTACCTCTGGACACCTTACACAGATATTGACTAAGGTAACCTCTGGTCACCTTACAAAGATATTGCATATGGTTACCTCTGGTCACCCACACAGATATTGGCTATGGTTACCTCTGGTCATCCTACACAGATATTGAAAATGGTTACTTTTGGTCACCCTACAATAAATTGGCTTATGTTAACTATGGTGACAGTTCATAAGATGAATATCGTTGGTCAATTTAAAAGATATTGAATGTGGTTAACTCAGGTCATTCTACACAGATATTAAATATGTTTACCTCTGGCCCCCCTACACAGATTTCGAATTGGGTAACCCTTTCATATTATTGAATGAGATTACCTCCGGTCATCGTATACATATATTTACTTAAATTACCTCTGGTCACCCTTTACAGATTTGGAATGTGGTTACCTTTGGTCACCATACACAGGTATTAACTTTAGGTTCTGGTCACAATTCATAATTAATGAATCTTTATTGGCATCGATTATCTCGTTTCACACTATCCAGATGTTAAATTTGGTTAACACTTCCCGCAACATTTATATTGAATATGAATATTGCTCATCATAAACAGATAATGATTATGGATATCTCTGGATACCCATCCTATAATTTATTTACTTTTGGTAATCTGACGCAAATAATGTCTTAGGCAACCTCTTATTACCCTGAACTGCAATCCATTTTGGTTAAATCTGTTCATCCTATATATAATTATATGACTTTTAAGGGGTCTCATGGTTTCTCCGGTTATATACAATTAATAAAAAAAAGATTTTGTTGACATTTTAAAAATAAATATGATATATTTCACATTCTCATTACAGGGTTTTTTGTTCGTGAATTAAATAGAGGAAATATGACAGGTGTAACAGGCGATTTTGAAGGTAATGGTTACAGTTTCAAACATAATTATTTCATTAATCATAGTAGAGGTCATATTAAGACCAATATTCAATTCCTAAAATCAGAATTCGAAACGTAGGGTTGATAGTACAAATCAAATACTTCAAAAACTAGAAAAACTGCACAAATTCCAAAATTATAGTTAAGGAATGTCAAATTATGATACATTATCGCGGTGTATATTTGAAACATCGTTATTTATTCCGCCATTTCCATATCTTACAGGTTTGGAAAACTTTAATTTGGAAGACCTCCATGAATTGCGACATGAAGAAAAGGAAGAAGTTAAAAAACAGATTGAAGCCATATATATTGAGGCAACCTCTTTGGAGAAAAAAGCCAGAGAATTGGGTATGAATTGTTTTTTCTCATTTATGCCCAAACCGCCACAAATGTCGTGATATTTTTCATACATTATTGTATAGATTACGCTGTTTAGATCATACAATTGAGAAATAATTCATTTAGGCTTGAATTTATACTGATTTTTCCACGGATTGACCTTTTATGCTAAATATTTTACAACGACCGATGGCATGGATAATATGCTCTTCATTTTTTAAAACTTTATTCAGCTACGATCAATTATCCTTGGCCAATTTGTAATGGCTTAGCGACTGCGTATATATTTTTTTTAAAAGTGTTTCAAAATTAGTATCTTATTCCAACAAATCGAAAATTGTTACTGTTTTTGTTTTTTTGTGTATATATGCAAATTGAAAAAATATGATTTATTCTAGGAAATTACACGCACAAATATTATATTTCCCTACCATTTTAGCATGTGATACAAATTCAACACAGTATATTCTTCGCCACGCACAAACCTTAACAGAAAAAGCAAATGAGATGAAAGAAAAGATATGCTTAGCATCAGGTGATTTATTTCTTTATCTGTATTATATTATAGATATACATTTATAACACAGTAGTGTTATTTTTATGTTAATACTGTAGACTTTTGTAGTTGAATATATCTGTTGGCACGCAAATTGGAAACTGAAAAACAGAAAATTCAAAAGGCACTTAATCAAATCCACTTGTCATAACCAAATTGACAAAGCCACGACAATAAACACAAAATCGGGAACAGGACAAACATCATTCCACGGAATTGGTTTGCGGTTTATTCCTTACTTTATCATTTGTTTATTATCTCAAAACTAGTGTACATAACACACTTTGGCAGTTCACTTAATACTGATCAGTGTTTTATTTCAATTTTCTTATGATGCCCTTTATTAGTAAAAAGAAAGGATTCATATCAAATTTTTACCTCCCCACACACACATACCAGCACACCCACATACACACCAACACACCAACACACATACACACACCAACACACCAACACACATACACACCTACACACACATTTTCTAAAACAAAATGTCAATACCAATTACATGCATCTAGTTGCTGCCATCATTCAAATTTTAGAATGTTTTTGGTTCTGTATCTTCATTTTATTTGTTTAATTCAAAACAAAATAATTTACACAAAACCAGTCAACCACCAGCATATTATCATTGCTTTCAATAATCATGAATAACAAAGTCAAATATTGTTTTTGAATAAATTTATGAATAGCCAAAAATGTCAGACTTTTGTGATACAACTATTTCAGAGCAGAAGGTCTGAAAAAGTTAATTTATAATTCTAAAGAGGTGAATGTCAACAACCTCACAAAGAAATGAAAGAATCATAATTCATATTTTATTGTAAAATTCAGAGTTTACCCAGAATCATATCACTCTTAACAAATCTGTCAAATGATCCCTGAATAAACAAGTAATATTTTCAATGATACGTTTTTATTACAATTGAATACACATAAGTATGTATAAACAATGTCATTTAGCTGTAAATTTGAAGTGAAGAAATTTTAACCTTATATTCTAATATTAAGGGAAATCATTCCAAACACCTGATGAACTACAAATTGCTATAAAGCAATCCATAGCTTCAAACGAGGAACAAACATTAATAGTTGAGAGACTTAAGAGGAACTGTTCATCCCATGGCTTAGAATACAGAGGTCAAACACCAGGGAATGGGAATTGTTTTTTTGAAGCAATCACATGCCAGCTAGATAGAATTGGCGCAGACGTTATTGCTCCCGAACAATTAAGAACAAATGTTGTAAACTACATATCAACACATCCTAGTTTTGAGGTAAACTAATTTACTTGTTAAATACATTCACTAATTATCAAACTCCTCCATGGACAGAAACATAAAGAATTAGTTGGACATGTTTTCAGGGGACAAATCAAAACCGTTGGCAACGTTAGTGGCGCATCAGCACAACTTAAATATATGATTTAAATCAGTTAAGAAGCTATTAACACACAAATACCATCAAAAATACTTCCGACAGAATATTAATTTGGAATTGACGTAACTGCCCGTAATACCTGTGATTAATGCAATTTAATATTTAAAGATTTACAAACTGATAAAAGAATAAGCATCAGTTAAGACTTTCATATCAACCAGAATGCTTTTTTCTGCAGATGTTTAAATAAATCATTTACAGTTAATATAGTACAATGCTAAATAATAGGTATTGACAAAAAACAATAAAATAAATAAAAAATGTATGTTATGATTATGATGATTTTTGATAAAATGTAGTTATAAAAGTATTTGTTTTGTATTAATCAATTTCAATGTACAGTAGTTAATAAAGACTTATGTAAGTAGCTTTCTTTCAATCAATAGGGCAGTCAAGGCATTGTGTTATTAGAAAACTTCGTTGAAGACAATTTTCCGGACTACTGTGACAGGATGTTACAGAATGGAGAGTACGCAGACCATGTTGTGGTCATTGGAATGTCCAGAATGCTACAGAGAGACATAGTTATTGTCACCAGTGCTCCCAGTACCAATAATGAGGATAGTGTCCTTTGGGTAACTGGTTGTGATGGTTTTTCCGGTAATCCTATTCTTCTTGGGCACATTTTCGAAAACCACTACCAGTCACTCCAGCCAAAAGGTAACTGATAATAGAAATTATATAATTTATGATTATCTCTCATAAAGAGATACCTTTACAGTTATAGTTTAAAGTAACGCATATGTAAATCTATGTTAAAAAAATAATGTCTACGGTTGATAGTTGGGAAATATCTTATAACACGAGATATAGTTGTGGAATCTGTTAATCTAATGATTCCAATAAAATTTGATAATTTGTTTAGATTATTTACAAAAAGTCATGCTCTTCTTGTCTGACTTCATCGGGCATGATCACCTATTCCAATGACGTCATTATATAAAATTCAGAGGAAAGCAAAATATTTGTCGTCATTATTATATTTCGACTAAGGAAGGACTTCGATCAAATGACCCACGTTTGGTAAAATGTTGATCAATATTGTGCTCAGAAAGGGATAAATACCATAGAATCAGTAAAATGTCCATATTTATATATTTGATATTTTATCAAATTGCTTTTGGCAAAACGAAATGAAATAAGTTTACTTTAACTTTGTTCTTCATTAGGCATTTTCACATTTTCGATAGGAGCGACCCTTATGAGTCTTACGTAGACGGAACACATTTTTAAGCCTTATATCTTTGAATTAGGTAGATCATCACTATATATCTGTATATCGCCATCTTGAATTGTAAAATAGCAGCACACAAGCGACAAAGTTCTTTATTTAAAACTGCAAATTTTGAGACATAAATGCTATTCATTTTTAAAACTCTTGTTTGATAAATGTAAATAAGTGCATTATATCATTGAAAAAATAAGTGTTATTGTAAAAACCGGCTATCAGTCTTTGTTTGATTCAATTTGTCAACTGAGCTAATTAACGGAAGATAACTTATTTGGTGAATTTTCTTTAAAGGAATGATAATGAAATTTCCATTTTTCGCAAGAAAACGAGATTTATTTTCACCCTTTTTCTTTTGATTTTCTACTAAATTGTGGCTATGTATAAGAAAATTATGTCTGAGAAAAAAATTCAGTAATGATCTACCTTAAATCGTTTTACGTTTTTTCACTGTAGACTGTTTTTGAAAAAGAAAAATATTAAAGGAAGTATTGTAAATGTGATATTTATATAAGTTTACTTTACATAATTTGATTGCATAATTACTGCATTGATATCAATCAGCATTAGAGGCAAAGTTTTTTTAATTGGCAAATACATTCAGATGCAAAAAAGCTTTATTTTAACAGATAAACTAGTATTAATTATAAATTATTACGTTTTTTTGTTAATTGTAACGTTTATACAACAAATTTTAGGTGACAGTGGCAAACTTGATCACCACACGAATGATAAGCATGCAACAAATGATGATAACCTTTTTATTCCTGTTGATGTGTGCAACGAAGAACTCAGCAACTATAACATGACACATGATGTTGAAGGTACAATATTGTTCCTTCGGAAATGTTCACTAGCCATACTTATCATCAGTGATTTTAAAATGATTTGAATAACTTATAATTAGCGGGAATTTCTCGCTACATTGAAGACCTGTTGGTGACCTTCTGCTGTTGTATTTTTCTACGGTCGGGTTGTTGTCTCTTTGACACATTCCCCATTTTTATTCTCAATTTTATTATAAAAAGTAAAAGTCATTTTATCATCCACTTTTATACATAACCTACCATTAGTATACATAGACGTCAATATTCTATAAAAAATAATTAGTTGTATTATAAAGTTGCAGTTTATAGATACTACCAATGAGCATGACTTTATCGAAGGCTTTTCGAAAGTCAACAATGCATTTAAAACACATTTTATTTCCATTTCTCCGTACTTCCAACGACAAAATTATTATACTTAAATTTGACTTTACATGCGAAATTTAAAGTGGTTTATCTAACGTCATTTTGTCGCAATAGTTGTATCATGTGTCCTCCTTTTTTATTATTAACTGTAACGTCTATGTTATACTGCAAATGCGTTTTATTATTGTATTAATACTGTGTCGCGAAGTATACTTATGTTTATAATTGTATTTTTTGTAACTCGTTAATTGTTTTGTCAGAGTTAAGCCATTTTCCATTATTTGCTTTTATAGTGCGTCTTTTCTTTTAATGTTTTACTGCTGTTTTACGTGTAATGTGCAGGTTTGCGCCTGTTGAAACGTTCAAATATATTATATGCAACTATTTTTTTGTGTTATTAAAATTTGCTGTTACAAAATATTAGAAATTATTATAAATTAAGGAATGTATCTCCCTCATGCAAAGCTCTGATTTCTTTCACGGATTTGGCTATACTTTTTGGACCTTTTGGATTATAGCTCTTCATCTTTTATATAAGCTTTGGATTTCAAATAATTTGGCAACGAGCATCACTGAAGAGACATGTATTGTCGAAATGCGCATCTGGTGCAAGAAAATTGGTACCGTTAATTTTATTGTGCAGAGGTCGTTTGTTGGTATTTTTCATCGATGTCATCATTTGTTTTTAAATTTATAACAAGTAAACTAGTGTTACTACATAGCAATACATATGCTTTTCTTACCCTAGATATGCCATTCGTAGAGTTTGTGAGATCCACCTTCATCAAAAAACGGAAAAATGGTACTGATTGCATTGTTAGACGTTTAAGGTATGGGAAATTTTATTTTAATCGAAAATATATAGTTTTGAAATCAACTAATTTCTATATGCTACCTTCTTCCTATGACCTAATGGTTTCAATAGAATTAAAAGAAAATAAATATCTATCACAGCAAAACATATACCTTCAGATTATTGAAAAATAACTCTGTTTGTTATTCAGAATAATTTTACTGAACTTCAAATAGTCTTACAAAATATAAAAAACACTGTATTAACAAAGGGATCATTTTTAAGAACTCTATTTTTTGGGGGACAATTTAAGTCTATTATACTATGGTGTAACTCTTTCCAATGTTTCTGAATATATGGATGAATTTTTGGTCACACTATTACACTGAAACATATTGTTGTGTTTTATCAGCTAGCATTTGTGACTTTGGCTTCAGTTTTTGCTTATCATTCAACAGAAATGAAGTGGACAACGAAGACGTCATAACCAAGCATTTAATGGATATAACAATCACAGGGAATTTTATTCACAGGAAAGCAAATAAAACCACATTGCAATACAGGTGTGAAAGGTAACTTTAATCATCTAAGTCGATAATCTATAAAGGAATTTTATCTTGAAATAAATCCACTCTTGTTTTTCTCCAAATAAACAATAAATAGAAAAAGAGAACAACTTTAGTAACAATCGTAAACATTCTTAAAGAATCTATTTACATATCTTGCATATCAAATTTGCAAGACAATGCTGAGTTAAAAGATACATTTGTGACAGAAAATAATATTGGTATAGTTTTGAAAGAGATGAGTTGTATAATCTTGACTTCTGGTTGTATGTTATTCTCTTGCTTTTTTTCAATAATATACGTTTTGTGTTATAGTTTATACAGTAATTATAGTATGGCCTTTAATAACAGATAGTTCCGAAAGCTTTTAAACGTATTGAACTATGAATTTTCTGAAATATTGCACAACATTTTTCTCTTTGGTTATCTATAAAGTTAAGATGCATATTTGTTTAAATTTTATCATGTTTATTTTAGATGTAATAAACCAAGAGGAAAAAAAACAGGTCCTTTGACTACCAGGGCAAATAATTGTCAGGCATATGTGTCATTCCAGTATGTTATGTTAATGTAATATTCATTTATCTCTTTTACTTTTCTTTTATGATGCAAAACTATAAATTAATTTATAACTTTTAAGCTTTTGAACATCATTATTTATTGATCCTAACATCCTTGTTGTAGTTAAGCAACCTTTTGTCCGTGTCTTGAGAGTGGGAATTAAATGCATTTATCATAATACTAAACCAAACACATTTAAACAGGTATTCACCGGGCATACACCATTCATGAGTTTCTGGCTAGTTTACCTGACATTTCATGTGATGAGCGGGTCAATACACCCTGTCATGGTTGAAATTATTATATAGAGAATCCCTGTATCAAATTATATAGAATTTGGTATATATCATTTTGATGATAAGTTATCAATTTACAAGGAGAACACAACAACCATAGCAGTTATTCGAAGTAGCCTTACACATATTTTTAGAAAAAATAATCCTTTTCTTCAAGTCCGATAGATCTTAAATATTGCTTACAAGCTGTTGTAATAAATATAATAATGATACGTTTGGCAAAACAGTACTAACCAGTGACGTTGTACATGTAAAAAAAAATCATTAAAGGGCATGTTAATATCTTCTTACACAGATTTTTGACCCATTTGAGTAAAAAAGCAGTAATAATTCGGCAACAACTAAAACACAATGGACACAGTTTACAGATAAAAGAGGAAAAACACCAATCACGACCAGATCACAGCTTACTGCTTTATATAGATGCTTTACTTGATCAGGTATTCATGTCGTCGGTATTATATATAATTTATTGCTCATAACGAATTGACTTATTTTTCAATTATAAGTTGCTGGCACTCTTATAAACACAATGATAATAAAAATTGTGTATGCTGACATTATTGGAGTTTAATATTTTCTCAACCATTCTGTTCTTTTCGATGTCTGTGTTTGTCTTCCGGCGCATTTTTTCATAATTTGCAAAGATTATAATGAATGAATAGGCTGAAATAAATCAAAAATAAAATGATTAGGATAAAATTGGCTTGCCAGAGAGTCATTTAATGCATTTACATAAATATCGGACGCTTGTATGAAATATTTTAATGAAAAAACCAGTTTAAAGCTGAATAGCATTGATGATAAAATATTCTAGAAGACATATATTTTTACAATGACATATATTGATACAACGACATATTTTGTGTTGATTTGAAAAAATCCTTAAGCTCAAAAAGATTTTAACTAAATTTGAAATTAATTGTAATTGACACGAATTTAATTTTATTTCATTATCAATAGGGGAAAAAACCCATGGAAATATTGTGCAAAGCATGGAAATGGGCTAGAGATCAAGGGCATTTTGATGTGCACGATAGAAGATACTATCTGACACCAGTTGACATTAAGAATATATGTCAACGTTACAAAATGGATAAAAGGTATCAAAACATAATCAAAAGATTTACTTAAAATATGTACTTACTGCTTTGTTCTTCTAAAAAAATCCAAAGAAACAGGCTCACTGTTGAAGGCCGTATGGTGACCTATAGTTGTTAATGTTTGTGTCATTTTTGGTCTTTTGTGGATAGTTGTCTCATTGGTAATCATACCATATCTTCTTTTTTATATTTGTCTCTACGTATCCAGTCATCGAACCACATCTTCTTTTTTATATTTGTCTCTACGTATCCAGTCATCGAAAAATAACACATTATCCGGACTTCAGTTACCTCTGATAACTTGAACCAAATCTTAATAATGACAAAGACTTTGCTACCTCTGATAACACTTAACATATACAGACTTTGGTAACCTCTGGTTAATGAACACATATATGGACCTGGGTCGCCACTTGTACCCTTAAATGTTTGTAGAATTTGATAATCACTTTTCACCATTTTGTTAACTTTGGTCACCTGAAACATATATATAATGATACACAGGTATTGACTAGGGCTACCTTAATCATACTTGTGTTTCCTATGTCTATTTTAGATATGTATATAATCTATATCCCTTTTGAAACCGTACACATATATTGACTTTGGTTACCACTGTTCACCGCAACTTTGGTCACATCTGGACAATTTAAAAAAAAATGATAGCTTTACACAAAGTATATCCTTGGTTCCGTCTTGTTACATCTACATACTTTAGTAAAGTGAAATTTAAAGAGCATTTGGTATTTAGTACCTTGCACTGGAAATGACGTTGGTTACCTCCATCACATTTATAGATACAGCCTTTGGTTTGTGGTTCTTTAAACTGATGCACTGTTTGCAAACCCAATGGTTCGTCTGTTAAAATCATTACTTTATTCACCATTTTAATCTTTTTACCAATCTGATTGTAAACATGCACTTTACACAGTAAATTAACTTTGGTGTTTTCTGGTCAAATTATACAGATGTACTGTTGACATTGATTTTGTATATGTCAGTACTGGTATTGATCTATGATATTTCCTCATTTGTTTTAGAATTCACCAGAATGATGCTGTAGCTGTACACGAGCTATGCACACAAATACTGAAGGAAGAGATAATTTTCTACCAAGAATTGAAAGAGTAATTATTCTTATATAATAATGTACTTTTGTAAATTTTAATAACTGATATAAGCATAATGCTGATAAAGAGTAATTCTGAAATTACTGATTGATACCCTGTTTTGTTCTTCAGACATGACTGGATTGCCTTATGTTCAAATAGTTTTTATAGTACTCGTCTGTCCAATTTCGTATATGATTTTGTCTGTAAAATGTTTCAATGAGAGCTGTACAGATGAGTTTTCTGTAGACTGAACGTATATCTGACTTCTCATAATAGATGATTTGTATTTTTGGTTTTTATCCTTTTGAGTGTTTTTAGTGCTACACTTGTTCACAAGTCATATATTTTGTCAATATATTTTACATTTTTGTCTTTTTCAGTTTTAATAGAGGTTATTTAATATGAGTACAATGTAGCTAGTTTGTCGTCTTCTTTTCCATTAAATGGACATGATTTCAACATAAAATATATAATTCATACTCATACTTTTGGTCATTAAATATGTAACATTTACATTGTAGGGGAGTACAGCCATCAGTAATTATTTACCAGAATGAAGCACAAAGAAAAAGAATGGTGAAACTAGCAGAAAATGTGGTGTTTTTAGATGCTACATATAAAGGTATATACTTGTATATAATCATGGAAATTTCAATTTAAAATATTGATACGTTTAAAAGAATTGAACTGTGTGACAATAAACTTACAACATGTTTTTTGTTTGTTTTAAGGATTAACTGCCTATGGTTATTCATTCTATGCTCTTGTTGCAAGAGATGAACAGCAAGGCCGAGGCACTCCTCCTTCGTACTGTATCTCGTCAGATGATACTGGTGAAGTTGTCAAAATATTTCTGAGATCTCTGAAGACTACGGCTGAAAATCATGGATTTGATTTCCGTCCAAGGTTTGTGGGTATCAAAGTTGACAATATTTCGAATTCAATATCATTGCTTGTTAACACTTTTCATTTTCGTCTTATTATTTGTTTACAATTAGTAACATTATTCGGAGTCAACATCAAATCTGATATGGATATAAAAGATAAATAAATACCATTCAATTATATGTTTTAATTAATTTGGCTGTAAAAATTACAGGTTAAACTATGACATTATTCACATATTCGTGCAGTGATAGTTATTTGAAATGACAAATAGACAATGCTATGAAAGATTCATCTAAAGAAACATTTTTTCATGCATATCAAAATTAATACAATTAAGGTCCACAATAATTTCAGTTGAATTTTGGCAAACAATATTAGATAAATAATTTTTGCATAATAATATTTTTCTAATGGACTAATGAAACTTACAAAAACATCAATTTCCTTAAAATCTTTTGAGTGTGATCTATAGCAAGGCTTTAAAACCAAAGCATTTAAGATTAAAGCATAGTCAGGTTTATACATAACATAATAATTAAAGCCTTTTTAGGCTTGTTTCCAAACTTTTTAATCACAAATTAAAAATTTAATTGATATAAAAAAAAAAGAATTTACATAATTATTTACAAATTAACAAATAGTATTATAGAATAAAACCAATATGAGATAAAGATATAGATTGTTGATACTGCAGTGTTACATTTTGTTTACTAGATCTTTTATGGTAGACAGAGATACCAAAGAAATCAGCGCAATTAATGAAGTATTCCCAAACAGCTCTGTTTTACTTTGCTGGTTTCATGTTTTACAGGTATTATATTATTCAATATATGTATCATACATTTTACCTTATTCTTTATGGGAAAAAAATCAGTTATTAAATGAGAGTTATTCTGTGAAGTTTCACTCTTTTGGATCAATAAGTATTAATTGCATTTGATTTAACATTTTATATCTTTTTTTTGTGTTTATAAGCTTGAGGTCAGTTTTGAATTAATAAATAGACTCTTTCGCATTAATACTTTCATAGATCAAATATTATCTTGTTGAAAAATAATTAGTCATGATATATTCAAGACAATATTTAATTATTATTATCAAGAATCTTTAAGACATGAACTAAATATAAATGATTTGATTTACAGGCTGTGTACAGATTTTTGAATAAAAAAGAATCTGGTGTATCAGGACCCATGCACGCACATACCAGAAAAAAAGTTATTGACTATATTAGAACTATGAAAATATGTACCAAGGTAATCAAACGTGATAGTTAAGACAAATAAAATATAATGAACCTATGATACCACAGTGAAATATAATAATTTTTAAATTGGTCAATAATTTTGAGTTGGTCCTGACAAATTCAAATAATGTATTCGAATATTTAATATGTACTAGGTGAATGTTAATTTACATAGTATAACTTGACCTGCTTCTGATAATAACAGTTTTATATGCAGAGGATGTGAAACATTGTTACAAAATTAATCACGAGTGTGCTGCCTCACAATGAAACACGATTGGTTATTGATATGTTTATATTATAAGAAAAATCCCTGTAGAAATGAAACCTCAGTGGGATCTTTTTCTCCTTTTCCAACATTGTAATTGTTTTAATATCAAAATCATATCAACAAGATTTTTCAAATAGAGTCAATTAAAACGCAATAATAATAATAATAAAAAATACAATCAATAAATATTGGTTGATAAAAGATGAAAAAAAAAACCACTGAAACATATAGAAATGAATCTCTATTGAATTAAAAAGTATTACACTCTGTCTAAATCCTACTTCTTCATGGGTAACCAAAGACATAGCATGATATAAACTTTACAATTTTTAACTATATGGAGAGGATTTTTGCCGTTCTTTCATGATAGGGTTATGCAAATTTAATACAAATATCATAATTGTCAATGCAAGTCGATAGTTACATAAAAGCAGACAAAATGAAAAAATGTAGTCTAGCAAAACCTGATGTGTATGAGGATATTAAAACAAAAAAATATAATGCTACTTATAACATTCAAATGTTAACACATTAATATTTTATGTACTTTCTATTTGTACATTCAAATATAAATCATAAATTCAAAGTCCTTAACATTTTGTCATTTTCAGGTTTTTCCTGGGCATGAAATACCATTTCCTTGGTGGGTATGCCAATAGCAGAGTAGAGGACTTACTACTCCTTCTCCATGGAAATGTAACTATGTTTTATGAGTAAGTAAGTTTAAATTTGTCACAATCCTGTTCTTCTTATCGTTCACTTGAATCGTCTGAAATTAGAAAGATCATTTTAATTTAAGATGCAAATACATTGAATATTAAATACTGTGAATTCAATTTTTTAAGAAATAATTTATTATTAGATCTTTGAATTATGTTTTCATAACCAAAAATAAATTAAAAAAACATCGTAATTTTAGCTATCTGGATGAACTCGCAAAGATTGGTCGCCTGAAAAATATGGGAGGACAAAGGGGAGACAAAAGTAAATTGACAGCAGAGAATATGCTCAAGGCAGGACTCGACCAAACTGTGCAATGGACTTCATCCACAGAATGCACTGTTCCATCACAGACAGCATTTGGGACGATTTATAATGTGGACATTGTCAATGAAGTGTGCAATTGTCCAGCAGCAACAACAAGAGGTATTTTTTTAGCATCTTAAGTCAGTCCAACAATGTTTAAAAGTACACCATCAAGTATGAATTGTTGAAATCAAGATTATTAATTTCGGGTACCGTATATGGTTCCCGGAAATGCTTATCCTTCTAAAGCTCCTAATTTCACTTCAGGTATTCAGTGGAATTCGTGTTGTTTATTATTGTTTTTTACTGTTGTTGTAAATGTCTTATGGTTTTATGAGTCTCCTCGGTTTTGATTGTTTTTGTCTTCCAACAAGGCATTATCAACCGTCATCAGGTTATACAAGTGCAAATAATCATTTTCCTCATCACATTTTCTAAAACAATGCGATCCAATTTAAGTAAATCTTTACGCAACGTTCATTAGTGGTTTTGTTTAAAGTTTGTACAATTGAAAGTGAACCATAAAGGTACAAGTTATTTATGTTCCATTCTCTACTATTTTTCAGGAATGTGTAAGCATGTTCATTTAGCTGAATTGATTGCTTCTAAAAGGAACATCGACCTTACTGTAGAGCGCAGATCAGAAGCAATGGATGTATTTAATGCAGAACAATATTTTTATGACAGAGATAACAACCAGGTAGAGGTTTTGTCAAGATTGGGAAATGTATCAGTTGTTAATTTGACCTCTTTCAAATGTACATGTTTTGCCAATAGCCATGGTAAACATTGTGTTTGTGTGATGGTAGCAAAACTGGTAGTTCCATCACCTGACATAGAGTCTACCTCAATTGATGAAACAAAACAACAATTAATTGAAGACAAAAAAACAACCGACCAGGCTATTAAAAGAAAAATTGAGGAAATCAATTTATATGTAAACAATAAAAATTTCCAGACAATTGACGTGAAAAAAAAGAAAGCTATTTGTCAAGCACTCACAACGGCATTACATATTTGTAAGACAACCAACTTTTCCAAAACAACAAGAAAGCGAAAACAGCAACCGCTGTTTCCAAGCAGAAAATCAAAAAGTTCAAAAGGTGATCATGACTATTCAGTAAGCCGAAAGTGTGTTCTGAAAAAACGGGGGCGTAAAGTTAATGATGATGGCAGTTTCAAATCTACGCACAGAAAGAAAGGATCCATTCGTAAACCATTTCAATGAAAAAAATAATGAAATATTATACTGATTTTGAAAAACTGCCTTTTCTAGATATTCGTTCAAAAATTGTATATGTTACATAGGTGCTTAAATGCTTTAAAAGTAGGACATATACAGTTTGCTCTTGAAATGTTTTGCAAAGATACTGATGTGAACAAATGGATATAATTTAATATAACAAATACCTATTCCTAATGATGATTTTGTCAAGCAGATAACTTGGCTAATTATTACATTGGACTAGGTCTGTTTGTTGTCTCAAGTAGGTTATATTTTTTAAGCAAATGATCAAATATGTTTTAAGTTAAGATAATACGTGTCATGTGTCTAATAAATCATTACCTGGCAGCATTGTCTGTATTGTCTTCCAAAAGGCCTCAAAAACTTTCCCATGCTATGCCTTGTTTACATTAGTTTTATTTAGTTCGGCTATAACATGGCCAACAATTTCTCTGCAAATATAAGTTAAGACAGCAATTTTATTATTATAGGACATTTCTTTACCTACACAATTTTATATAATGACACCATCTTAATTATTCTAGTTTTTATAAGAATCACTTAATCTAAGCAAATAAAAGACTTAATTTACAAGAATGCATTTTATTTTATTGACTTAAATATTTTTTTTTAAATGTTTTAATATGTTAATACTATAATGCTTAATTTATGTCATTACTAACAAAAATTGTATTCAATAATTGCAAATGTTTCCTAGCTACAACAAAATAGAGCATGTTAAACCGTTGGAAAATAAATGAGAATAGCAATGTTATACATATCAATAATAAAACAAAGGACCAAGTCGAATTGTAAGGCCAAATTAAATAGTAATTTGTACATCAATAATTATAAGTCAATTGTTCTACCTAGCTTTCTGATAAACATGTAGTGTGGATTGTTTCAAGTTTATGACCAGTAAGAAGTAGATTGTATATGATTTTATAGTTAGTATTCTAACGATGCTATTAATTTTAAAATGATTGATTCCATGTCATTTTGCTTTGAAAAGTTTATTATTTAGTACACAGAGAAATGTGAAACCTTGAGTTGTTTTTTACGTTTTGGTCGGGTTGTTGTTTCTTTGACATAATCCCTGTGTCCATAAAGTTATATTAAAACGAAATCTGTTTTTAAACAGCTGATAGTATGTTTGTGTTTGACTGTATATTAAAATGATAACTACACATTTCCATTCGCTTTTAACACAATTGTTCATTTTCTATATATAGACCTCGAGTGTAAAAAGATAGATTGCATTATAGACTTGATTATGAATTTATGATCTGAATTTTGTCACAAATTTAGTCTAGAATAATTATTGAAACAGATAAGCAATCAATTGAATAGATGAGAACTCAGTTTATAATTGATTGTTGAGAAGATAAATACATAATGATCATGGTATTTGGAAAATGTATGTTTTATATATTTCATGTTAATCTAGATGTTTGCATTTTCTATTGTGTATTTTATTCCATACTCTTAGTATGTAATAAAGATGTCAAGAAGACGATTGCCTTTGTAGCCATTATAAATCCAATGTTCATAAAATCTGAACAATTGAATTCTCCTCAAACACTTACTTAGTTTTTTCAATGTCACCCTTTTTTTGGGCAGATGTCCCTTTCATTTTTTTGCATACAGCCTTTTTGGTTGCTTCTTTGTCAACAAGAGCCTCGGTCAAAGTGTTTAAAGATTGAACTTGATAGTCAACATCACCTGAAAATGAAGTGAAATACAGTTGTGATCTTTTCTTGCAGTTAAGCTGATAAATATATGTAATAAGACATATTAAGCACCGTTATGAAAGTTCTTACAACTTAAAAAAATGTCTTACAGATTGGCAAAGCGACATGTATATGATTCACAGTAGACATATGATTTCAAAAGATACAGTTATATACCAAGGGATCATAAACTCAAGCATGAACAATATTATGGGCACCACATAATAAGCTGGATCTGCTAACCAATATAGATAACCTGAGACCACCCTAGTTTTTTATGGGGTTTATGTTGCTCAGTTTTATTTTTTCTATATTGAATTATAATGATTGCATTTTTGACTTTCCATCATTTTTTTTAATTTTTTTGCTCAGCTTTGTCAGTTTGTTCTCCAAATTTCAGTTTGATTGTTCCTTTCGACCCATTCACCATTCCTTACCTTCTAATCAATCAATGCTTAAAAAAACACGAGATCATCAATTTATGTGTTTTAACCAGCATAAACTGTTTTCTTTGAGAATCAAGTGTATTCACTAAAGTCTTACCGTTTGTTAACATGGACCAGGCTGATGTGATCGGTGGCACTATGTTTGTTGGTTTTGGAATCAAATTGACTAGTCTTGAAAGTTCCTTTCGATTTTGTTGAGTAGTATTTGATTTCCCTATTGTCAAGTAATCACCTATCTGGTGAACTGACATTCTGTCTGGTCCCTGGACTCTGGCCGTGATTTCATCTCCCTTCACCATATAAATCATTCTTTTCTCCGTTTTGTTTGTTTTCATTGACTGTAGTCTACTTCTCACAGGTCTAATGTCTTTTTAAAATAAATTGGAAAATAATCATGAACCCTTATGATAAGATTAATGAGAAACTTAAAATTGTGTTTTTGTTAGCCTATTAAAAGAAATCAATGACTTGAATTATTTAAGGCACAATGTAAAAATAAATGATACAGGGAGCTTCTAAATGTATAAAATTACCAAGTAAATATCAAACTAGTATATGTATAGGTTGTTACTAAACAGATAAAAGCCATTCCTGAAAATGTGAAGGTACAGTCATCACACAGGACATTTAGCTTTGTTATTCATAAAAAGTAATTGGAAAGACAATAATAAAACAAGTAATGATTCATATCCAAATCCATGAAGTGCTAAATATAATGATTGTTGAGGTGAAATATAGATTGTTGGTGATCATGGTATGCAAATGATCAAAAAAATATAATGTACATACTTGCAATCCTAAACTCCTCAAAAGAAGTAATCTCATTCCAATCCGTCGTCTCACTTGTACCTGTTGAGATAAGAGTATTATTCAGGATAATTGATAAGAAACCAATCAAAACACAATTACTTTAATCATAAAATGTAATCCTAGTTATCTTCGGTAATTAATTCCTGGTGGTTGCATTTTTTTGTGTACAAAATAACTACATAATATCAATGTCTTGATCATTATGATACCATTTTTAGAAACAAAGTGACATTTTTCTACCCCAATATCTCCTAAATAAAATTAGGTTGGGGGTTGAGCCAGTCAACTCCAAAGCCTGCCCTGTGAAGAAGTATATTAAAAACTTCAATTGTTTTCTTTATATAAAGTATAACAAAAACTATTATATGCTTCATATTTAAAAATATATCATTCTAAAATAGGAAAATAATTCATTTTGGTCAATTTCCCTACTTTTTTGTCACCTTTTTCAATATTCATAAATTTAACTATGGCGCCACATCTTGCCCATTCAATTTTGATGAAATTGGCAATATCTTGTTAAGTTGACCACATGTAACCAATTCAATATTTTTGTAAAGTAATCTCAACAGGAAAATGAAATTACTTTTCAATCAAACCTAAGTAGCATTTTTACAAATATCAATAACAAGTTTAAAGTTAAAAAAGAATGATAGTTTCAGTATCATAAAACTTAATGAACTTATCCATCATGATTAAATGCATATATACCACTCTCATCTACATTTTCTGTTGACTTCTAAAAATAGAAGATAAAAATTATAATGATTGTATTAGGAAATCAATTGATTTATCAAAAATTATCTAATAATGATAAGTATAAATTGTCTACATAATCAATTGTAAAAATCCTCTTGACAAAGTAAGAAATTTTAATTGTTTTCTAAGATTTGTTTTTTAGACGACTCTGAAAGACAATGTACATTTTTTAATGGTTATTAATATATTGAAATTAATATAACAATATAACATATTCTCCCTGAACCAAGAATGTATATCTAACCTGATCTTCATCTTTTTTCTGGATCTTCGGTTGTCTAACATTATCTACTAATGAAAAGAAATAAAACCATGAACCATTCAAATGTAAATGTTGATATTTTTTTGCAATTTATATTAACATTAATTGTTTCATTTTCTGTTATAAAAGACTAAATAAAACAAATTTTATTTGCGTAAGTGTGTCCAGAGGTTACCATATTTCATATCAACATAAGGTGATCAGAGGTGACAAAATCTGAAATCTACAGAAGGTGACCAGAGGTAACCAAATCCCATGTATGAATAAGATGACCAGATGTAACCAAATCAATTATCTGCATAAGGTGACCAGAGGAAGCCAAATCCGAAATATGCAGAAGATGACCAGATAATTACAATATCTGCATAAACTTAGGTAACCAAAAATTATTTTTAAATCAGGTGACCAACAGTAACAAAACCCTATTATATCTTTTAAAAGTGACCAGTAATTACCAGATACCATATCTTGGGAAGATGACCACATGTATCCAAAATTAAGAATTTTGTAAGGAAATTCTAAAAGAATATTGAATTTACTTTTCAATCAAACCTAAGTAGCCGTTTTAACAAAAAATGATAACCAGTTTTGTGTTAGAATAGAATGATAATTTCAGTATTATAAAAACTTCATGTACTTATGCATCATATATAATGATTATATATCACAAATTAAATGCGTACATACCTCTTTCATCTACATATTCTAGTGACTTCTGAAAAAAAAGATAACAAGTACAATAATCGTATAAGGAAATCAATTGATTTATCAAAAATATCTACAGAGGATAAGTATCAATTATCAACTGAACATGCTCTTGGCAACGTTTGCAAATTAAATCATTCTCTAACGTTTGTTTTATAGATGATCATGGTAGACAAAGTTCATTCTGTTAATTGTAATAAAATATTAAAAGTAATATATAATACTTTTCTATATTCTTGTTGAACCCATGATGTATATCAAACCTGTTTTTCTTCTTTTTTCCCTCTCTTTGATTTTCTAGCATGTTCTAAAATGATAAAAAAAACACAACATGACCAGTTGTAGGTAAATATTGATGACAAGAAATAACCAAATTCGAATAATACATAAGGTGGCCAGAGATTTCCAATATATGCATGAAATGAACGGAGGTAAACAAATCCAATATCGTCGTAAGGTGACCATAGGTAAGTAAACACATTCAATATCGTCGTAAGGTGACCAGAGGTAACCAAATTCTATATGTTGTTCAGATGACCAGAGGTTACCATATACCATATCTTGTAAAGTTGACAACATGTAGCCAATTTAAATTTTTATAAGGTTATCCCAAAAGAAAAATGTTTTTTTTAATTAAACCTTAAATGCCATTTCACAAAATTCGTAACAAGTTTAAAGTTTCAATAGAATAATAGTTGCAGTATTATATAGACACAAGGCGCTTATCCATCATAAATAAGAATTATATTTAACAAATTTAATGCATACATACCTCTTTTATCTACATTTTCTAGTGACTGAAAAAGAAGATAAAATATATAATGATTACATTAGGAAATAAATTGATTTATCCAAAATAATATAATGAGGGTAAGTATACATTGACTTAATAATCAACTTTAAATGCTCTTGTCAACGTTTGCAAGTTCAAGCATTTTCTAAGATTTGTTTTTTAAAAGATCAGGATAGACAATGTTCATTCTGTTGAGATCATTAATATTTTAAATGTAATATGCAATACAATTCTATAGTCTTGCTGAACCAGTAATGCATATCAAACCTGTTCTTGTTCTTTTTTCCTTCTCTTCGATTGTCTTACATTTCCTACAAATAATAACAAAAAATAACATGACTTATGTTTTGATGACCAGAGTTAATTAAATCTGAAATCTGCATAAGGTAACCAGAGGTCCTCAAATCCAATATCTGCATAAGGTGACCAGAGGTTCCCAAATCCAATATCTGCATAAGGTGACCAAAGGTCCCCAAATCATATATCTGCATAAGGTGAACAGATATATAACAAATCAAATTTCTTCATAGAGTCACCAGAGGTCCCCAAAGCGGAAATCTGCATAAGAAGACCAGAGGTCCTCAAATCCAATATCTGCATAAGGTGACCAGGAACTCTAATCCAATATCTGCATAAGGTGAACAGAGGTCCCAAAATCCAATATCTGCATGAGGTGACCAGATTTATCCAAATCCAATATCTTCATAAGGTGACCAGAGGTCCCCAAATCCAATATTTGCATAAAGTGACCAGAGGTCCTAAAATCCAATATCTGCATAAGGTGACCAGAGGTCCCCAAATCCAATATCTGCATAAGGTGACAAGAGGTTACTAAATCTAGTATCTGCATTAGATGACCAATGGTAATCCGATTCCATATCATGTTAAGATCACTAGAGATAATCTGATACCATATATGATAAAATTGATCACTTATAGCTAATTAAATATTTTTCTAAGTTAATCCAAAGAGAAAAAGAAATTTTTCAATCAAACCTAAGTAGCGATTTTAAAGCTATCGATAACAAGTTGTAAGTTTAAATAGAAATTTAGTTTCAGTATCATATAGACGTAATGAACCTATCCATCATACTAAAAAAAATGATAAAATAAATACAAACCACTTTCATCTTCATTTTCTGTTGACTTCTGAAAAAAGAAGTTAAATATTAAATAATCGTATAGGAAATCAACTGATTTATCCAAAGGATCTAATGAAGATACGTATAAATTGACTTCATTATCGGATCTTGACAACGCAAGCAAATTCAATTATTTTTAAGATTTATTTCTAAATGATCATGGAAGATAATGTACATTTTTTCTGTTCAGTGTTACTTAGATAGTAAATATAATGTTATAGTATTCTATATTTTGAACCAATGATATATACAAACCTGTTCTTCTTTTTTCACCCTCTTCAAATTTCTCACATTTTCTACAAATGATAAAAAAAACTCAACATTTAAAAAAGAAATTGTGGTATTATTGCCAATGAGACAACTGTTCACAACAAACCAAATGACACAGAAATTAACAAGTATAAGTCACTGTACGGCCTTCAACAATGAGCAACGTCCATACCGCATAGTCAGTTATTAAAGGCCCGGAAATAAGAAATGTAAAATAATTCAAACGATCATACATCTAAGACTACATATGACCAATTTTTGTAAAATTTAATGACCAGTGAATAACAAAATCCGAAATCTGCAAAAGGTGTCAACTGTCAAGAGAATTCCAATAACAACAGAAAGTGACCAAAGATAACTAAATACAGTATCTGCTTCAGGTGATCAGTGTTAACACAATTCTATATCATTTTAAGGTTGCTTAGGGTACTCAAATACCATATCTGGGAAAGTTGACCATATGCAGCCAATTAAATATACCAAAAATAATTAATTTCAATCAAACCGAAGAAGCCATTTTACAGCTATCGATAACAAGTTTTAAGTTCAAAAAGAATAATAGTTGCAGCATTATATAAACATAGTGTATGTTTTCATCATATTAAAGGTTTGATACAATAAATTAAATGCATACATACCACTTTCATCTACATTTTCTGAGGACTTCTAAAAAAAAGAAGATAAACATCTGATATTTGTATTAGTAAATTCAATTTTATTTATCCATAATTATCTTATGAGGATAAGTAAAAATTGACAAAATTTTCAACTGTCAATGCTCTTGGCAATGTTTGCAAGGTCAATGATTTTCAAAGATTTGTTCTTTAAAAGATCAGGATAGACAATGATCATTCTGTTGAGTGCTATTAATATTTTAAATGTAATATGCAATACAATTCTATAGCCTTGCTGAACCAGTAATGCATATTAACCTTTTCTTGTTCTTTTTTTCCTCTCTTCGATTGTCTTACGTTTCCTACAAATGATAAAAAACATAACATGACTTATGTTTTGATGACCAAAGGTAACAAAATCCAATATTTACATAGGGTGACCAGAGGTCACCAAATCCAATATTTACATAAGGTGACCAGAGGTCACCAAATCTAATATTAACATTAGGTGATCAGAAGTCACCAAATCCAGTATTTACATAAGATGAACTGAGGTCACCAAATCCAATATATGAATAAGGTGACTAGAAGTTATTCCATTCTAGCATATTAAGGCAAACAGAGGTTAACAAATCCGAACTGGTTAAGATGACCACATGTAATCAACTTAAATATTTGTGTAAGGTAATCAAGAAACAAAAAAAAATGATTAGTTCAATCGAGCCTAAGTGGCCATTTTACCAGAAACGATTGCAAGTTTCAAGTTCAAAAAGAATAATAGTTGCAGCATTATATAAATATAGTGTATGTTTCCTTCATATTAAAAGTTTGATACAATGAATTAAATGCATACATACCACTCTCATCTACATTTTCTGAGGACTTCTGAAAAAAGAAGATAAGTATATGATAATTGTATTAGTAAATTCAATTTTATTTATCCAAAAGTATCTTATGAGGATCAGTTTTATTTTATTGAATTATCAACTGTCCGTGCTCTTGGCAATGTTTGAAAGATCAATGATTTTTCTTAAATTTGTTTGTAGATGATCATGAAAGATAATGATCATTGTGTAAAGTTTTATCGGTACATTAAACTTAATGTAATAATATTATATATTCTTGTTGAATCCATAATGTATATCAAACCTGTTCTTCTTCTTTTTTGTCTTTCTTTGATTGTCTCAAATTTTCTACAAATGATATGAAAAACATCAACTAGTTGTATGCAAATGTTATTTACCAGAGATAACCAAATCTGAAAACTACATAAGGTGACCAGAGGTAACCAAATCCAATATTAACATAAGGTGACCAGAGGTCACCAAATCCTATATTTCCATAAGATGACCAGAGGTAACCAAATCCAATATATGAATAAGGTGACTATAAGTTACCCCATTCTAGCATATTAAGGCCAACAGAAGTTAACAAATCCCATTTCTGGCTAAGATGACCACATGATATCAACTTAAATATTTGTGTAAGGTAATCAAGAAACAAAAAAAATGATTAGTTCAATCGAGCCTAAGTGGCCATTTTACCAGAAACGATTGCAAGTTTCAAGTTAAAAAAGAATAATAGTTGCAGCATTATATAAATATAGTGTATGTTTCCATCATATTAAAAGTTTGATACAATGAATTAAATGCATACATACCACTCTCATCTACATTTTCTGAGGACTTCTGAAAAAAGAAGATAAGTATATGATAATTGTATTAGTAAATTCAATTTTATTTATCCAAAAGTATCTTATGAGGATCAGTTTTATTTTATTGAATTATCAACTGTCCGTGCTCTTGGCAATGTTTGAAAGATCAATGATTTTTCTTAAATTTGTTTGTAGATGATCATGAAAGATAATGATCATTGTGTAAAGTTTTATCGGTACATTAAACTTAATGTAATAATATTCTATATTATTGTTGAATCCATAATGTATATCAAACCTGTTCTTCTTCTTTTTTGTCTTTCTTTGATTGTCTCAAATTTTCTACAAATGATATGAAAAACATCAACTAGTTGTATGCAAATATTATTTACCAGAGATAACCAAATCTGAAAACTACATAAGGTGACCAGAGGTAACCAAATCCAATATTAACATAAGGTGACCAGAGGTCACCAAATCCTATATTTCCATAAGATGACCAGAGGTAACCAAATCCAATATATGAATAAGGTGACTAGAAGTTACCCCATTCTAGCATATTAAGGCCAACAGAAGTTAACAAATCCCATTTCTGGCTAAGATGACCACATGATATCAACTTAAATATTTGTGTAAGGTAATCAAGAAACAAAAAAAATGATTAGTTCAATCGAGCCTAAGTGGCCATTTTACCAGAAACGATTGCAAGTTTCAAGTTCAAAAAGAATAATAGTTGCAGCATTATATAAATATAGTGTATGTTTCCATCATATTAAAAGTTTGATACAATGAATTAAATGCATACATACCACTCTCATCTACATTTTCTGAGGATTTCTGAAAAAAGAAGATAAGTATATGATAATTGTATTAGTAAATTCAATTTTATTTATCCAAAAGTATCTTATGAGGATCAGTTTTATTTTATTGAATTATCAACTGTCCGTGCTCTTGGCAATGTTTGAAAGATCAATGATTTTTCTTCAATTTGTTTGTAGATGATCATGAAAGATAATGATCATTGTGTAAAGTTTTATCGGTACATTAAACTTAATGTAATAATATTATATATTCTTGTTGAATCCATAATGTATATCAAACCTGTTCTTCTTCTTTTTTGTCTTTCTTTGATTGTCTCAAATTTTCTACAAATGATATGAAAAACATCAACTAGTTGTATGCAAATGTTATTTACCAGAGATAACCAAATCTGAAAACTACATAAGGTGACCAGAGGTAACCAAATCCAATATTAACATAAGGTGACCAGAGGTCACCAAATCCTATATTTCCATAAGATGACCAGAGGTAACCAAATCCAATATATGAATAAGGTGACTAGAAGTTACCCCATTCTAGCATATTAAGGCCAACAGAAGTTAACAAATCCCATTTCTGGCTAAGATGACCACATGATATCAACTTAAATATTTGTGTAAGGTAATCAAGAAACAAAAAAAATGATTAGTTCAATCGAGCCTAAGTGGCCATTTTACCAGAAACGATTGCAAGTTTCAAGTTCAAAAAGAATAATAGTTGCAGCATTATATAAATATAGTGTATGTTTCCATCATATTAAAAGTTTGATACAATGAATTAAATGCATACATACCACTCTCATCTACATTTTCTGAGGACTTCTGAAAAAAGAAGATAAGTATATGATAATTGTATTAGTAAATTCAATTTTATTTATCCAAAAGTATCTTATGAGGATCAGTTTTATTTTATTGAATTATCAACTGTCCGTGCTCTTGGCAATGTTTGAAAGATCAATGATTTTTCTTAAATTTGTTTGTAGATGATCATGAAAGATAATGATCATTGTGTAAAGTTTTATCGGTACATTAAACTTAATGTAATAATATTCTATATTATTGTTGAATCCATAATGTATATCAAACCTGTTCTTCTTCTTTTTTGTCTTTCTTTGATTGTCTCAAATTTTCTACAAATGATATGAAAAACATCAACTAGTTGTATGCAAATATTATTTACCAGAGATAACCAAATCTGAAAACTACATAAGGTGACCAGAGGTAACCAAATCCAATATTAACATAAGGTGACCAGAGGTCACCAAATCCTATATTTCCATAAGATGACCAGAGGTAACCAAATCCAATATATGAATAAGGTGACTAGAAGTTACCCCATTCTAGCATATTAAGGCCAACAGAAGTTAACAAATCCCATTTCTGGCTAAGATGACCACATGATATCAACTTAAATATTTGTGTAAGGTAATCAAGAAACAAAAAAAATGATTAGTTCAATCGAGCCTAAGTGGCCATTTTACCAGAAACGATTGCAAGTTTCAAGTTCAAAAAGAATAATAGTTGCAGCATTATATAAATATAGTGTATGTTTCCATCATATTAAAAGTTTGATACAATGAATTAAATGCATACATACCACTCTCATCTACATTTTCTGAGGACTTCTGAAAAAAGAAGATAAGTATATGATAATTGTATTAGTAAATTCAATTTTATTTATCCAAAAGTATCTTATGAGGATCAGTTTTATTTTATTGAATTATCAACTGTCCGTGCTCTTGGCAATGTTTGAAAGATCAATGATTTTTCTTCAATTTGTTTGTAGATGATCATGAAAGATAATGATCATTGTGTAAAGTTTTATCGGTACATTAAACTTAATGTAATAATATTCTATATTCTTGTTGAATCCATAATGTATATCAAACCTGTTCTTCTTCTTTTTTGTCTTTCTTTGATTGTCTCAAATTTTCTACAAATGATATGAAAAACATCAACTAGTTGTATGCAAATGTTATTTACCAGAGATAACCAAATCTGAAAACTACATAAGGTGACCAGAGGTAACCAAATCCAATATTAACATAAGGTGACCAGAGGTCACCAAATCCTATATTTCCATAAGATGACCAGAGGTAACCAAATCCAATATATGAATAAGGTGACTAGAAGTTACCCCATTCTAGCATATAAAGGCCAACAGAAGTTAACAAATCCCATTTCTGGCTAAGATGACCACATGATATCAACTTAAATATTTGTGTAAGGTAATCAAGAAACAAAAAAAATGATTAGTTCAATCGAGCCTAAGTGGCCATTTTACCAGAAACGATTGCAAGTTTCAAGTTCAAAAAGAATAATAGTTGCAGCATTATATAAATATAGTGTATGTTTCCATCATATTAAAAGTTTGATACAATGAATTAAATGCATACATACCACTCTCATCTACATTTTCTGAGGACTTCTGAAAAAAGAAGATAAGTATATGATAATTGTATTAGTAAATTCAATTTTATTTATCCATAAGTATCTTATGAGGATCAGTTTTATTTTATTGAATTATCAACTGTCCGTGCTCTTGGCAATGTTTGAAAGATCAATGATTTTTCTTAAATTTGTTTGTAGATGATCATGAAAGATAATGATCATTGTGTAAAGTTTTATCGGTACATTAAACTTAATGTAATAATATTCTATATTCTTGTTGAATTCATAATGTATATCAAACCTGTTCTTCTTCTTTTTTGTCTTTCTTTGATTGTCTCAAATTTTCTACAAATGATATGAAAAACATCAACTAGTTGTATGCAAATGTTATTTACCAGAGATAACCAAATCTGAAAACTGTATAAGGTGACCAGAGGTAACCAAATCCAATATTAACATAAGGCGACCAGAGGTCACCAAATCCAATATTTCCATAAGATGACCAGAGGTGACCAAATCCAATATATGAATAAGGTGACTAGAAGTTACCCCATTCTAGCATATTAAGGCCAACAGAAGTTAACAAATCCCATTTCTGGCTAAGATAACCACATGATATCAACTTAAATATTTGTGTAAGGTAATCAAGAAACAAAAAAAATGATTAGTTCAATCGAGCCTAAGTGGCCATTTTACCAGAAACGATTGCAAGTTTCAAGTTCAAAAAGAATAATAGTTGCAGCATTATATAAATATAGTGTATGTTTTCATCATATTAAAGGTTTGATACAATAAATTAAATGCATACATACCACTCTCATCTACATTTTCTGAGGACTTCTGAAAAAAGAAGATAAACATATGATAATTGTATTAGTAAATTCAATTTTATTTATCCAAAAGTGTCTTATGAGGATCAGTTTTATTTTATTTAATTATCAACTGTCAGTGTTCTTGGCAATGTTTTAAAGATCAATGATTTTTCTTAAATTTGTTTGTAGATGAGCATGAAAGATAATGATCATTGTGTAAAGTTTTATCAATATATTAAACTTAATGTAATAATATTCTATATTCTTGTTGAATCCATAATGTATATCAAACCTGTTCTTCTTCTTTTTTGTCTTTCTTTGATTGTCTCAAATTTTCTACAAAGATATGAAAAACATCAACTAGTTGTATGCAAATGTTATTTACCAGAGATAACCAAATCTGAAAACTACATAAGGTGACCAGAGGTCACCAAATCCAATATTAACATAAGGTGACCAGAGGTAACCAAATCCAATATATGAATAAGGTGACTAGAAGTTACCCCATTCTAGCATATTAAGGCCAACAGAAGTTAACAAATCCCATTTCTGGCTAAGATGACCACATGATATCAACTTAAATATTTGTGTAAGGTCATCAAGAAACAAAAAAAATTATTAATTCAATCGAGCCTAAGTGGCCATTTTACCAGAAACGATTGCAAGTTGTAAGTTCAAAAAGAATAATAGTTGCAGCATTATATAAACATAGTGTATGTTTCCATCATATTTAAAGTTTGATACAATAAATTAAATGCATACATACCACTCTGATCTACATTTTCTGAGGACTCCTGAAAAAAGAAGATAAGCATATGATAATTGTATTAGTAAATTCAATTTTATTTATCCAAAAATATCTAATGAGGATCAGTATTATTTTTATTTAATTATCAACTGTCAGTGTTTTTGGCAATGTTTGAAAGATCAATGATTTTTCTTAAATTTGTTTGTAGATGATCATGAAAGATAATGATCAATGTGTAAAGTTTATCGGTATATTAAACTTAATGTAATAATATTCTATATTCTTGTTGAATCCATAATGTATATCAAACCTGTTCTTCTTCTTTTTTGTCTTTCTTTGATTGTCTAAAACTTTCTACAAATGAAATGAAAAACATCAACTAGTTGTATGTAAATGTTAATTACCAGAGATAACCAAATCTAAAATATGCATATGGTGACCAGAGGTAACCGAATCCAATATTAACATAAGGTGACCAGAGGTCACCAAATCTGAAATCTGCATTAGGTGACCAGAGGTAACCAAATCCAGTATTTCCATAAGGTGACCAGAGATAACCAAATCTAATATATGAATAAGGTGACCAGAGGTAACCAAACCCGTTATGAACATAAGGTGACTAGAGGTCACCAAATCCAATATATGAATAAGGTGACCAGAAGTAACCCCGTTGTAGTAAGGCAAACAGAGGTTAACAGATCTAATTTCTGGTAAAAATGACCACATGTAATCAAAATTAAATATTTGTGTAAGGTAATCAAGAAACAAAAAATTATTTGTTCAACTAAGCCTAAGTGGCCATTACCAGAAACGATTGCAAGTTTTAAGTTCAAAAAGAATATTAGTTGCAGCATTATATGAACTTTGTGTACATATCTATCATATTAAAGGTTTAATACAATAAATTAATTGCATACAAACCACTCTCAAGGTGACCACAAGTATTCAGATGCAATATCGCGGTAAGGTGAGCAGAGGTAACAAAACCTAATATTTACATTATGTGACAAGAGCTAGCAAATCCAATAAATACATATGGTGACCAGAGGTAACCAAATCCAATATCAGCATAGGTGACTAGATGAACGTATTCCAATATTTACATAAGTTGACCTGAAGTAACCAAATCCGTTATCTTCATTAGGTGACAAGAGGTTACCAAATCAATTATCTGCATAAGGTACACAGAGGTAACCAAATCCTATATATGCGTAAGATGACCAGATGTAACCAAATCCTATATGCGGAAGGTGACCAGTGGTAACAATTCAAATATTTGCAGAAGGTAACCAGAGTTAACCGAATACTATTTTAGCATAAGTTGACCAGATGTAACAAAAGCCGCTATTTGCATAAACTAACAGAGGTAATCAAATCCAATAATTGCATAGGTTGACCAGAGGTAATACAATACTTTTTTGCATAAGATAACCAGAGGTAACCAAATTCAATATTTGCATTAGTTGATCAGAGTTAACAAAATCTGAAATCTGCATAAGGTATTATCCATCATATTAATTGATTTAATCAACAAATTAAATGCATACATACCATTCTCATCTAAAATTTGTATGGACTTCTGAAAAAAGAAGATAAAAATATAATAATTGTATAAGGAAATCAATTGATTTATTCAGAAGTATCAAGTGAGAACAAGCATAAATTGACCCGATTTTTAATTGTGAATGTTCTTGACAATTTTTGCAAGTTCGTTCATTTTTTTTAGATGATCAGGAAGAAAATTCGATGGTAAAGTGTTTTCAATGAATAAACATTTAAAATGTTATGCAACAATCATCTGTAGTCTTGATGAACCAATTATAGATATCAAACCTGTTGTTGTTCTTTTTTTCCTCTCTTTGAATGTCTAACTTTTTCTAAAAAAAAGAATAAACAAAATCCATGAAAAGAAACTAAAGGTTAATATTTTTAAAGTCAGTACAATTCAGAGTAAAAATATATACTCAAATTATTAAATTGCAATATAAAAAAAGGGTAACCTCTCTGTCAAGTATAGATTACCTTGAACAACACGAACCATTTAGTGCTTTTAAATAAGTGTGGGTGAAACATAAAAAAATTAATAGCTTAACGTGAACTTACTTCTAGCGAAAACTGTGTGAATTATATATATTCATAGGAATTAATTCAGAAGCATGCTTTATTATTTTTTCTGCATGCATTTATGTTTATCTATCATTGATTATAATGTAATGTAAAATTGATACAGGATAGAAATGAAGTTGTGATAAAGATACATGACTTCACAGCAGAGATAATAAATAAGGAAATTGTAATTATTGTGTCAAGCAGAACATTAAGTGAGAACTATAATATGTAATAGTAGTGGCATATTGACTACACATTGATTATATTTGAAGCGTACAGATTTAGGATAAAGCACACCAAACTAAAAGTTCACAGTATTTTATACATTACCATACATCTGTATATAAGAAACAAAAAAATAAATAAAATCCAACAGCTTATACAATGCAAACAAGAAACTGACAAGTTATATAACAAAATCATTTGAAAAGACAATATTTAAAGAAGACTTAAAAAGTAGTGTGCACTAAGCAAACGGTACCTATGCCAGCGTCATTCTGTATTAATCAACTAAGTCATGAGGGGGAACATTAAACGTCTGCCTTTACCATGTGAGTCTGAATGTGAGAACAACAAATCTTTGGATTTCAAAGATATCTTAGAATAAGTTCATTTAGTGCAATCTATAAAAAATGAAGAAATATCAACATGAATATATCTACAAAAATTAATAAGTCGACTTCTGTTATGAAATTAAACGCAACTTATAGAATTATTGAACAAATGGAAGAACAATGATCATTCTACAATTTTGTTATATCGCATTTTGTCCTTGCAAATTAAATTCTATTTCATTGAATTACTTTAAAAAAAAATTAGAAATGGTAGAATTTTCTATTGCACTCACCAGGTGGAAAAATTGAGCACAGACTGCATAGTCCTGGAGTCATACACTTTTTGTGGAAATTCCTTTTACAGCATGAACATGCTCTCTGCAATATTTAATAGACATGTTCAAATTCTATGAATTAATGTAGTTATTGCGAAAAATGTTAATATTAGTGAAAGTTCATCAAATTGATATAAAAAAAAAAACATTTATATTCTAACCTACAATATCACAAGGTTCTGTTAAAAAATTATCAATTTTAACCATAAAACGTATTTAAATAAGCAATAAAAATAATAAAGCACCCTGTTAAGTTGAACATCAACGATCTATAAATGTATATTTACCATGTTAGTTGGTTCTTTAGCACACAAGAAGCATGTCATAACAGCACCTTTTGTTTCTATAGTAAAATAGAAATAGATGTTAACATGAATTAGGAACAACATTTTTCTGCTCCAAATCACAAATTGCAGCAGCTGATAATAAGTCATAAAATTGAAAATGTTTACACTTGGTTGATGTTATTTTTTACGTTCCTTCCCGTAGATGGTAATTATGATGGTGATGCTCATTGATGACAGCGGCAGTTTATATGAAGAAGACAATCGCATAAATATATCGGCTAACTTAATTAGACCTACAAAAACTAGTTGATTTTTAAACATCTACTTTCCATGTTTATATTTCCATTAATAAGATCGTAATATTTGACAACAACACATTATCATACATATATAAGACATGGAATATCATAAAAAAAAGTACAGTTTGAGCTGTAGAAAAAAGAGAGAAATTATTACAGAAAACAACCGGAATTATTAAGCTATTATTTCCAAACTACATTTTTAAGTATAACATATCAATAATGAATAATACATTAAAGAAACATAAATACATCATTTATAGCGTAAAGAAATTTGGTCAGAAACAATAGATAAAATTAAAAACAAATCATCAATGAATTGAGATAAACATCAAAGAAAAGGATTTCAAACACATTATTGAACATGTTAAAATTCATATTCCCTTTTTATTAGATTCACTTATTGTCTAGCAAGAAGATATTAAGTATTTACATAACATACGGTACTATTAGTAAATGCTTTTATTCTATTGGTTACTTACGCACAGCTTGAACAATTTCACTGCCAATTGTGAATCTTTCAGCTTGGACGTTTAATTCCAAAGATGTATCTGTCTTACTTAGGTATCGGTCGAGGAACTAAAAAAATAATTCTTAAATGTACACATTGTTTTGTAAATTTTCTATGGCCTGTTCAAAACTGAATGTTTAAATTACTGAAATGATTCATGTAGGCCTAATAATGATATAAAAATGTTTTTTTTACAAAAGGTAAATTAAAAGTACCACATATTTATTTGTTTTTCTTTCCATTACATTTAAAGTAATTTATGCAAATCATAGATTTGGTTAAATTTCACACAACCTTTGTGCTTTGCGGATTTTACTGAAATAGTTTACATGATATATATTCCAAGTTATTGTTTACACATATTTAAATAAACAGGTTTGGGAAACAAGTTGTTTACAACTTACAACAATATTTTGTTCATCTTGTTTGTACGATTCTGCCTTTTTTTCAAAATCAACAAGGGTGTCTTTTACGTGCAAAATTGTGATCTTTATTAGTATATATATATCATTGATTTAAGATTCAAGCTTCAATTGAACTTTCATTTATTAACTCTCAATTCATACATGCAAAGCCCAATGTTTTATGTACCTTCAAACAATAAACACCACATGAGCTAAAATCATTTTGCAGAGGATACCCAACTGCTGTACAGATTGTCCATGTACCAAGATCTCTGCTTTTAGTGAAGTAGCTACATAATATAATATGAAAAGAAAAATGTGTTACTTAAAATTGATATATATTAAAAAGTCAAGCTGGCTATAGCCATAATGCCAGCCATTGCCTTACCCCGGACTGTATCATAGAACTTACATGTCTAGCTAGATGTATGATACTTAAGGAGATATTGCACATTCCATAGAAAACCGTTCATTTGACCAACCTTTCTAATGTAGGAAAAAAAATAATTGCAGCTGTTTTAAAGTTGATATCAACAACGTTTGGAAAAAAATAACTGGTCTTCAGTTCTTACTGCTATATTCAATTTACAAAGCTGTGCAATCAATAATACAATTATAGTTCAATTCCAGTATCAACCAGAAGTAATTTTAATTTTAGATTAACAAATTATATTTCTCTAGATTTGTCCTTATAACTTGTGACTCACTTCTGAAAATTTCAGAATTATAAACTTTTTTTTAAGTATATATATCAAACACAGAAATAAAAATTTACTTTGAAACAAATCACATGCATTAAAGCAATAAACGACTGTCATGTAACTACAGTTTCAATCTTACTTGAAATTCTTTTCATATGTTCTCAATTTCTTTGATATTTTGAGCGGGTCCATAATTGTCACAATATGGTGTTGGACATCCATAACCTGAAACAAAAATTATTCTCTCTTTTTAATTTCACATACTTAAATCTGTTTACATTAACATTTATAAAAAAATAAATATTTTGCTTAATTACTGGTTGTTGCTCAATGTTCAGAAGCAAATATTTGATAATATTCTATACGAAGAAGCCAATATTTTATATCTGATATTTCTTTTCTAACTATCATTTCCATGCAGTATAAATGCTTTCATATAAATGAGTGCAAAATCAGTTGGAAAAATGTATGAGAAAATATATATATTAAGTCAAGTAAGTTGAATTAAGTTATAGAAGAACAACTAACATGACTAAAAACTCAACGAAATGTCTGAAATGCTGTTCTTGCAACTCATTTTTCTATTAACTTATAACCTCATGGAAAAATGCCTGAATAGTGTAATTAATAACATTAATTGAGCAAATAAACCTACCACAGCAACCCAATGACACTTCCCGTCATTAATGCACCCAATGACAGTGTCATACTGTTGTATATCGTCCTAAAAAAGTATTGTAAAATGTTATTATTAACTTGCAAACTGATAAAAAAAAGACCGATGAAACATTAAATACATTTTATAAACAGCAATATAATACCATACACAATACAATATTTAGCATATTGTTTTATTATTTATCATTTGATAATTTACATATATCATCAATATGTTAGAATGTCTTATTATTTTGTTAAAACGTGAAAGGCGAATTGGTAATATCCCGCTTTTAGCTGTAAAAAGAGTAATCTATGTGTAAATCAAAAGCACTTATATAAAAAGAGTTTATAACAGATGATTATATAGTATTATACCTTTTTAAACCAAGTTACGCTTTTCATCCCTTCAAAAATTGAGGTCAGAATCAGATAATCTGCACGGGACACTTTCTGGAAAACGGAAATATGTATAAAACAAATTGTGTGACAAGAACATTGGATTTATTTAACTGTTTCTATTACATCGGAACGTGAAATTATATAAGGTTTTTCTTGCCTGGTTCAATACTTCTTCAAAGTCAGTATGAAATTACCCATCAAAAATACGAGGAATAAAAGTAAATTCATTTTTCTCATAGTTAATGAGTTGTGCATATATTTCCTTAACGACAATTCCAAATGGGATATAACTCTTATAAGGAATATCCAGATAGCTTCGGTTAAATAATATATGACATCATAAGGGTGTAACGAGTAATTGAGTAAACTAATAAAATATCGCAGTAGATGTATCTACACGCAAAATCGAGATTGGGGAGGTAACTCTATTAATGAGAGTAAAAAGTCTTCGTTAGGGCAATGGCGAAAGCTCATAAGCTGTACGATATCATATAAAACAAAGTCAAAGCTACATCTGTTAAAAATAATAGCTCAAATTAAAAAAGGCGAACAAAATATAAATAATAATATCAAAATAATGATAATAATTATAATCCTTAAGTAAAGCTAAAAGTCTTTCAACCGAAAGGTAGAAAGACCTTAAATTATATAAAAGGGAAAAAATAAAAGATGATTTAGTGGAACAAATATTTCATTCTCTGCAAAAAGGGTGGTGGGTGCGAAAGTAACTTTTACAATACACAGTTTACTTTGGTGAAATTGGAAATGAATAAAAAATGCATAAAACAAGTTTAGAATGATAATTCAGATACCCTTAATGGAGGAATGGATCATGTAGAAAAAGCGAAATTAAATGAATTGATCCTGGAAGTTACAAAAAAATAAGCATGCTTTAAAGTAGCCGATGAAAAAATCAGTCAACTCTAAAATAAATGCACTGAAATATGATAAAACGGTTATTAAATAAATACTTTTAATTCGTTTACCTGTACACACTGATCCGTCCGTTTTTGCAGTACACTACAATAAAGATTAATTATCTGAAAAAAAAAAGAAAATGATAAGGTCAGATCTTTTCAATCAGTATGATACAAAGGAAACCATCAACAAAACTAAATATCACAAAGGTGAAGACATACAAGTTTGATCAAGATAACACATAACATAAAGTACCATGATTATGTTATCAGTTTAAGACAGATTATTTAAAAAAATCCTTGTACATTTTATAGAACTAAATAAAATCAAAAGACCTCCAAAAACCTGAATGACTTACCTGCATTTTTTTTGTTGTTAAATCTTTCATCAATGATTATTTCTGCTTTTCAATGGAAATAAAGTAGTGCTTACATTGTCAAATTGGTATTTAATTTTTTTTGGTATCTGTCATATTTTCTTCAATGGCAAAACAATGCATTTTAAACCAATATGCTATTAAGCCATAGTGACTATATTTCTTGGCATAAAAGAAAACACAATTACTTACAGGCCAGTAACTCTTTAAGGGGTCACAAAAATTAGCAATTTAGTGGCATCAACCAAACAATGGGTAGTTTTATTTGTCTGAAAATGCTTTACCTAATGAACCTTTTCACCAATGTCAGATTTAATTTTATTTTAGATACCCTAAGGATGATTAAGCTTACGTTTGGTTGGAATTGGTTCAGTAGTTTCAGAGGAGAGTTCAAGATCTTTGAAAACGTTTAACCTTTATTACATAAATTAAACCATTAGTACTGTTACCTGATCATTCAACTCCTCCTCAATTTTTAAGCTCATTTAATCCGATACGTAAAGAACATTCCCATACACCGTACCAAACTTTTCGTCAGCATTTCCTTTCCATGAATCCCATATTGTTTCCAAAAATGCTTTAAATAAATAATCATTTTTAACAATCAAAGTAATACAAATAATAATACCTGAAACAAATGACATCAATTAAGTTTCTTTTAAATTTTGGAATTCTTCGAAAACAGAAGTGCAATCTTGTTTAGCACAGAAGATCACAATATTTGGGTAGGGTGACCAGAAGTAGCCGCAGTCAATATTATATAAACAATAGGTGCCATATTATTTAAGTCTATAACCGTTTAAATTGCAAAGAGGTAATAAAGGTTTACAAGTTACAGAATGACATGAGGTAATTAATATCAACATATGTGTAGGGTTAGCAGAGTAAGTCAGAAACTATGTAGGGTGACCAGAGGTCAACCAAAGTCACTATCAGTGAAGGGCGACAAGATGTAACCAGTCAATATATTTGTAAGGTAAGCGAATGTTAACTAAGACAATATGCGTAGGATGACCAGATTTAATCAAAGAATATATATCTGTTTAAATGTCGCAGAGCTAGCCAAAGTTCATAACTTTGTCACCTGACTAAAGTTAACTAAAATCAATATATGTGTAAGATGACCACAGGTTACAAAAGTCAATTACTATGTAAGGTGACCAAATGTAGAGAAAGTCAATAAATGGGAAGGGGTGACCAGAGGGCACCAGTCCATAAATCTGTAGGGGACAAATGTAACCCAAATCTGTATATGTGTGAACTGCCTACAAGTTAACAAGTTTGATAATTGTGCGGAGGTAACTCAGGTCAATAACTTAGTAGGAAAAGAGGTTATAAAGTCATTTTATGTGAAGGGTGACCAGAGGCAACCTAGGTCAATATATGAGTAGGGTGACCAGAGATAACCGAAGTTAATATCTGTGTTAGGTGACCAGAGGTAACCAAAGTTAATATATGTGAAAGGTGACCAGAGGGCACCAGTCAATAAATTTCTATGGCGACCAGATGTAATCTTTAATCAAAATCTATATCTATGTAAACTGCCGACAGCAAACGAAAGACAATATCTGTCACGTGTATGGCGTTAGGAAGTAACCAGTTTCAATATATATGAAGGGTGACCAAAGGTAACCATTGTTTAATCTGGAAGATATGATTTTAGTATGCACACAATTACTGCACAGAGTTTGGTAATTTTAATTTTCCAACGAAAGAAAGAGGTAGGGCCAATATGCCGAGGATTTTTTTTCACAGAAGGGCCAATTTCAAAAAGTGCCGACAGAATAAAATTTACTATAAAAACAAAAAATAAAAATGCTTTTTGATCAATATCTCGATTTACATATAGTATGATATGTGTGATCAATAGTTAATTTAACCCTAAAAAATGATGAAAATCCAATATCCGGATTTTCGGGTGTTTTTATGTGGAAAAAACAGGGAATCCCCCAAGAAGGACATTTCAAACCAAAAAAAAGTTATGCTTTTTATGACTGTTGTTATTCATACTACTTTTTACTTCAAAAATGAAATTGGTTTAGTGTGTCCTTATTACATAAAAAACAACTTTTTAAAGAAAAAATTGTAACATCGATAAATTGTACCGATATACCTTCTAAATAAGAGTCATAATGATCAGAATCGCCGTAGCTCCACCATTAGAGCACAGAACTACTAATAAATGATGAATTTGAAGAAAGGGTTCGAACCTCGCTCAGAACTTTTGCATTTTTTTGTGTTGTTAAATTAAATTTTAAAGTTTCTATCATATTTTTTCGGATGTTTGCTTGACTCATAGAGTCATTCTGGTTCATTTTGACTATTCAGTTAGTTTACTAGTATATAATTTTACGTGTATCAAAGAAAAATAATGTATCGCTTATTGTGTGCAATCCTATGACTGTCCATACTCTTGAATTACTTTCTATTCATGTGTTTACATTATTACGTATATCCAAGGGACAACTGCCGTCAAATTGATGTAGGTGCCTGTACATAACCAATAACACGAGAATTAATTCTATAGAAATTAAGCCTACATGTTGCGGGTGTAATATACACATAACTTAAAATAAGGCCATTGTATACAAGTTTCATAACAACAAAAAACAATTCGTCGAAACCTTTTTTGAACATGGTATTATATGTAACAAATGCAGTCAACAACAATTTTGTCGCCAAATCACAAACTGTAAAGATACTAGTACTGAAATTTTTACCACCTTCTATACACGGGTACCTAACTCATCAGAAAAATAAAACAACATAACAGAACAAATCAATTACACTACAAATCGCGATTGTAGGTAAAACATCAAGAAGCTGTTGCATCTGTATCACAACGAAGGGCCGATTTGTTAAAATTACAGAAAAGGCAATAAAACATGAAGTAGTAACACAGGGTGATCTATGACCAACTGATGTAAGATGTTCTCCGGTTTTAATTTTATATACATGTACATGTATTTTCTTGTCTTATCTTATAGACAATAAAACCTTAAAAGACCAGGACAAATACAGATATACATATTCAGAATGAGAAAATCACGATTTGAATTAGTTCGATATTATTTGGCTCCTTGACAATTTACATGGTATGGCACCTCGCATAAAGGATGTTAATAATAAAATAAAATCAATATTAAAAAAACAATAGTCTTGGCCTTGTTTTTGTAGGAATACCTGTTCAAGGTATGAAAATAAATAATGTGACGTATTTTCTTGTACTATAATTAGCATCTATCGGGCTATTTAAAACATTATTTACCTATCTTATCGAATGAAACAAATCTCCGGCAAATTGGCCCTCCCTCTTTATTTTTTTGGATTCCTAGCAGTTTTATGTTATGGTTTACGTCTACTTTGAAATTTAATTGTAATTTTATTTATTTCATATCGGTTCAGAATAAGATTCTCTTATTGGATAAAAAGGGGTAATATGACATTCATTATTTTTCAGTAATAAATTCCATCCTTCATTAACAGAACAAAACGGACCAGAAAACTGGTCGTTAACGGACTTTTACATGAGAATGACAGGTGGGCGTGGTTTCCGTCTGATAATGACCGTTGAGGCGTGGTTTCTCTGTAAATGACCGTTGGGGTGTGGTTTCTCTGTTAATGACCAATGGGGCGTGGTTTCTCTGTTTAGAGAGATTTATCCATTTTTAAAACATGTTCCTTTCTTTAATATTATATTTAATTTGTTGAATTGTTTATTATTTGTTTTTGTTAATAATAAAATTAAAGAGAACTTGATTAAGTATTTATATACTGAAAAATTGCACTAAAATGAATGGGAGTATTCCTACAACTGGTCTTCACTCTCTGCCATACAAATCGTACGTCAACTACTCGAGTTCGCTTTAGGCATTTTGAATTAATGAAAATTTTCAAAACATAGTTCCTCAATGAAATAAACATAATAGTTCTTAAAAAAAACTGGTCATTATCGTGATACATGGACTGCCCGTAGGACAGTAATATTGACTATGACAGCGATAATGACCTCGCCTTCGCGTCATTATCGCTACCTTAGTCAATACCACTGTCCTGTGAGCGGTCCAACTATTATATAAATATTAAATCCTGAATTAAAAGGATTAAGTCGATTAGAATGTGACCTTACTCTTAATACTGTTCAATGGCATTTTAATATAATTACACCAACTATATAGCTAACAACATTACAAATGTCTACATTCATAAATACATATAAATATGTTACTGGTTGAGTTGACAAATAAAACTGTAAGATCAGCATAACATCAGAAGAAACCTTCTCAAGCTCAAGAGATAAATCATTGAAAAATATTATTAAAAGTAAATGTCATAATATGGAACCTTCTGGTACTCTTGATCAAACCTCTAAAGTAGGTAAATCCCTAACTTTGTATTGTGTAACTTTTGTCTTCCGTTTGTAAGGTGGCACTAGATCAATAGCATTTCCTTTCTTCTTGAAGATAAATATAGAATTGATTTAAAAACTTACCTTTACTTCTTTCTTTTATGACAGCTAACATTATCCTTAAAAAATATTAAAATACAGTTCATCCATTGCTTAAGTTATCTTAACATTATCAATATCATCAACTACATGTATAAGATTAGGCCGTGTTCACATTGACTTAAACTCGGTGTTGTGTTAGTGTAACTCACACATTAACTAAACATAATTGCGTTCCCATTGATAAAACTTAATGTTTACGTGAAGATTTAATCAAGACTCATCTATCATCTTTGCCGAACACATAGTTCATTTGAAAAGGTCTTCCTGAATCGATCAGACGTACACAATGACAGAAATATTTGCCACTGGTCTTTATACTCAAACAGCGATTCACTTATAAATGCATTACTGAAAAAGGGGGAGGTTAATTGTTTGTTTGTGTAGTATCTGAGACTCGTTAAAATACTATTAGAAATAATAAAAAAAACATTCTCCCCTCCCTTTGACAAATACTCCTTGGATAAAAAAAAATAGCACTTGAAACAAACAGAAGAGATAGAAATGTAGTGATCCTTAACATAGCAATTCTTTTTCTTCGTCTGTAAGCACGCTAATGGCAATCCTACGTTTTTAATGCGTAATCGAGACATCTTTAAACTACTGCAAATCATCCAAAATGACTTTCTTAAAGGAGCAACCACTTTACTTCAAAAAAAAGGGAGAGGGGTTCTGAGTTCTCGCGCGAAAGTTTATAATTATTTTTTTTTTCGATGGTACCAATTTATATAATATTTAACATGTTTAACACTATAATGTATGGGAAAACGTTTGATTCAGAATATTTGTTCATTCTATAATTGTCTGAATGTCTCAATTTTTTTTTTAAATCTAATTGTGGAAAAATCCCCCCCCCCCTTTTTTTAAAGTCAAGTGGTCGTTTATTAACTGTAGAAAAGTTGTTCGAAAATTTGAATTCGGTTCTACGTAATGAACATTTAAATGACATATAGTTTACGAGTGTGAACAAATCTTATGTACATGTAACTAAACAAGGTGTATAGATGTGAACAAATTTAATGTGAAACTAGCGTACATTACATTAAAC